CGGTTGCACTGGAGTTACAAAGTCAAACAGTTAAAATGGTAGATAGTCCAGAACGAGAGGATGCAAAAAGCGCGACAAAAATTTCCTTTGAACTGTACTGAAAACATAAAAGTAAATACAAAATTATTAATGAGTAGCGCGTTTGACCAACTTCCTCAGAGTAAATGTTTAAAGTTTTGCCTTTTCGCTCATGGTGACTCCAATTAAGACTCTTTAAATATAATTAATGGAAAGCTGTGGCGTGGGGAGGCCTATGTCCAGCAGTAGGCTGAAAAGGCTCATTGGATTGGAATGGAAATATAACGACACTTATTTTGAAAATCATATAGTTAACATGTCAATGTATCGACTCCATTTATTCTAGGGAAATATTTTGATATGAACTTAAAAAATGTAATTTAACAATTATTTTAAGTTGTACTTTTACGATACATTTATTCAAAGTCTTGCCATCATCATCACCATGATGAGTGCGTAACCGCCTGTGATTGTACGCACTCGCCGCGCGGCTAACCGCTAGTGCGTTAGGGCCGTAACGGAGTCGACAGGTACGGCTGATTTAGCGTATCAGTGCTCCCAACTGTTCTTAATAAAACCATTTCATGATACAACAATTTGTCAGTTCTATCATAGTTATAAAGCCGCGACAGCTGAGTAGGGCACTCGGGAATATTTCAGCAACCTCTATTTTATGTGAGAAGGTGGCAAGTGAACTGGCGGTCCACGGGATGTTAAATGTTAACCACCACCAGCAGAGTTGCAGATGAGTTGCCACCTTTTAATAAATCGGGCCCCTGCTACCTCACTAAACAGACGAAACGCGTAAGTATAACACTTTCACTTCACGGCAGTCTCTGCCCATTCGTGCAACAGTGAAGACTGTTGCATTCCCGGTGCCCTAATGAGATTGTTAATTACAGTTTTAAGAGCGGTGATGGAAAGTATTTTTGAAATAAAAACAACAAAATTAATTCGAAGATATGCTAAAATATGTGTAATCTGCCAATCCGCAGTGGCTGAGCCCAGCAGTGGGACACGAATAGGCCGTTACTTTAGTTCTTTTTATCATAGTTAAGCACTTCGAAAGACAGCGAACAACAAATTAGAGGAACCGCACCATTTAATCATCGGCGAAATGAGAGTGCCGCAAGGGGCTCGACTATCGATGCAAACTTACCTATACCAGACTTACATATACTACCCGGTAGTACATTTACAACGCTGACCAAATTAACTCCGGAATCTCGTCATCGATAGTGGGGAGCCACTGCGGTTCGTCAGAGGAGTAACTGCGGCCGAATGACCCACGCTGGCTGTTTTCACTTAATTTTACTTTAATAAGCCGGCCAAATTGGCAAGTTTTAATTTAAAATCTCGGAAACGGATTCAGGTGATTTTTTTATGGCAATATTAAGCCCACACGCTGTGGATGAAGAAAAAGGACAAAGTAGTAAATTAACAGTTCATATATGTCCCACTGCTTGGCAAGAGCCTCTTAGGGTATGGATTCATTATTTTACCGACTAGTTACCGACCGCCACGAATTATGTTTCTTATTATTATTTGTACTCGGTGGCGTAGCTGTTGAAATATTGGATTCAACGCTGTGGTTCGTGGGTTTAATTCTCACATATGTCAAGTATTCGTATGACCCTTTGATAAATGTTCGGGATCTAGCTGTTTGCTACCAAGGCAGGCGGCGGTGGTACGAAGAACCTTGATTATCAACATTTGAACCATAAGAAAGTTGCCAATTCGAAGTTGTACAGTTACCCCGCGATATTTTTTTTTATCTTTGAACACATGATAAGTTAACAATTGACAATTTAAGCGTGCCTTTTTTTTAATTTAACCGTTTGAACTTTCGAGTACAATGAATTACAACTACCGAACACTGAGCTACCGTGATTATATTGCTGTTAAGTAACTGTAAAAAATAAACTAATAAAAATAAATCGATGCAAATATAAATCGAACATGATATATCAAAAAAACTTTAGAAACCAGGGATTTTGATTAAAATCGTATCATAACGAGATATTTACCATTAGACCTATATAACCTACCTATATAATAGAAAGTAGGGAAGAAACACATAATTTAGTTTGATTTGGTATTGTTGTTATTCCGATAGAGAAGACTGTTATTTTGAAATAAATTTAGCATCACACGTGAGTATTACAAAAGCCTGTAGCGGCTTTGTTCGCACAAATTCCAATTCCGGGGAAATTATGCTTTAAACAGACACCCATAACCAAGCTTCGAATCACTGACGCAGGTGCTGTGTATTTTGCCGGAACAATGACAGTACCTATATGTTTATTTTAATCTTCTTACGTACAGCAACTATGTAAAAACATTAAAAAAAACTCGATCACAATTGTTCTATTTAAAAGTAATTAACAATCTGACAAACACACTTACGTATGTTCTAGTAATGTGAAATACTATGCATTTTCTAGAACGATAATGAGATTAGCGTGGTTTGTCTTTTACTTAGGATTTTAGTTTTGATGGATTTGCTCGCCTATAATTTATCACTACATGGTATAAAACAAAGTCGCCCCACTGTCTGTCTGTCCCTGTGTATGCTTAGTTCTTTTCAACTATGCAACGAAAAACTTAATGCGGTTTTTTTTTACTACATAGAGTGATTCAAGAGGAAGGTTTATATGTTAATACATTTCCCCCGTGCGAAGCCGGGGCGCGTCGCATGTTTACGTATATCTTAAATGTGACTCACGTTATGTAGTTAAGTACTAATTATTTATTTTTCGTTTGTATTGAGAGCAGAGAATAAGCTACCTACACTCTTAAAGCAGCAACCACCTGTAAGTAATTCACTTATATTTGCCGTTTCGTTCGATGAGCGAGGTAGCCGGAGCCCACTTTTCAATGGGTTGGAGACGACCCCTGTACATCCTGTTCGTTTGACAAAAAAAGCAAAAACAAGTGAGAGTCGGCAGCGCGCACGAAGGGTTCCGTACCATTAACCCATAAAACCGTCAAAAAAAATCATGTCTGTTGTATGGGAGCTCCGCTTAATTTTTTTTTATTCAGTTTTTTAACATTTGCTGTAACAGCTGCAACAGAAATACATTAACTGTGAAAATTTCAACTAACTATATAGTTAGTTGAAATTTTCAGAAATATGAGAAACAGCCTGGTGATTGACGGATGGACAGACAGCCAGACGGCGAAGTCTTAGCAATAGGGTCCCGTTTCACCCTTTGGGTACGGAACATTAAAGGGCAACGGACTTAGATCATCCGGACTCCGCGCGTGTTTCAGATTTGTCTAGGAGAGTGTGATTTGTGTGTGTGTAGATTTGTGCAGTGAGATTCGACGCGTCGCGGGATTTCCATAAAACGCACCCTTTGACCACTCGATACAATGCCATATAGCGGGGGATGGGGTGCCTCAATTATCGCCGCCGGCGTAGCCCGCACAATCGGCCGCGACACGACGCGGCTCCCGCGTTGTACACACACCAAACGCAAATAATTAACCTACCCCGAACAAACGCCGCACGATCCCGATTGACTTTGTGCAAGCGCCCGTGTTGACACGGACAAAACAAATACCATCGCTATAAAATAAATACCACCAATGTAAATTCGCACGCGCGTAAACACGCGTCTACGCGCGGACACACACGCACACGAACACAAATCGACGTTGTCCCCGTTTACGTGCCTCTTATTTTCTTATATTAGGTTGAACACAAACGAATGTTATCTTAAAAGGATGTTTCGAATATTTTTAAAAACGTAGTACCAATAATTTAGTTAAATAAAAAAATATATTTTCGATCATTAACTTTTAATTATAAAATTTAATGTCGACGTCAAGCCAATAGCAAGATAAAGAGGAAACGTTTACATATCGGCTAGTTACGTTATTCTCCACACTAGAAGAGTTCCATGAGCCGAGAAATCGGTAGAGAAGTTAGTCCTGGGGAAAGTTCCTGTTCACGCGGATAATGAAAAATTAAAAGCAGAGATCCTAAAAGCTTAGGACGAATGACAACTATTGCTTAAAAGTTATCATCTCGTCAAAAAAGAAAATTACAGAAAACGTTTTAGTGTGACCCGTACATTTTTTCATTTTCGGTCTCTCTATACCGAATCGTTACTGTCTCCTAATAAAGGGTTTATTGCGGCTTAATTAATTGTATTAGGTATATTACAACCGTGTATTACATATAATTAATTATATGTATCATGCCAATATATCATGGCTCATTAGCCTGATTAAAGTTTGACAATGGTCAAATATCTATAACTGGCACTTTGTCCGCAAATTCATCCACAGAAATTGTGATAGCTCGGCTATAGACAGCATTATTTTATAAATCGTTAATAGTTTTCGCAGTGCATAGAAAATAATTACTTATATGGGGATCTCTATTTTTTTTTTAATACAACATAGCTTATGTTCCTCGGTACAAAATGTTGCTTTCTCACGGTAAAAGAATTTTTAAAACCTGTTGAGTAGTTTTTGAGTAAGAAACAACCAAACGTAAACGCAGCAAACATAGAAACAAAAAATCAAAACTTTACAATAAAATTTAAGATTATAATGGGGGGGGGGGGGGGGTCACTGAGAAAGAAAGCGTTAGGCATTAAAGCGTTAGACATTGAATTAATAAAATATTAAATGATTGAAAATCTTTGAATTGAACCTTTTGATCAGTAAGAAAATTATTGTGATCATTTCAGAAAGTTTAACCATCATTTTGACAACTCAAATAACATTTGAAAAGCCATTTGACAGCTGATTAGTTGACATCTACGATGATCAGTGTTACAGAAACCGGGCGTTAAAGTTTTAAAGTGAAAATCTCAGAAATGGATTGGTGATATTATTAGAAACGGTCGATCAAGCGCATAAAATTGTGAACATTGTTAGAAGCTTCTAGCCACGGGTTCAGCTTTCACCTGCCTTTATTTTTTTATGCGCAGCAATCATTTGAAGCAAGGCGATGTTTGTGTCCACAGGTGATGTCGATGATAAACATATTTTTATGCGCATTGGCACTGTCAAATCGCATGGACTGCGACGCGGGCAGTCTGCGCCATAGTAGAGGCTCTGAATATATGAAAAAGATCCTGTACAGACATTACATAATAGGTAAGAGATATTGGAACAAATCACGCTACTTCAGTTTAAGAAAGACTTAATAAGATTTAAGATTAGATAAGATTAGATTTAAGATTATTTAAGATTAGAAAGGCAGATTCTGTAACGTTCGGTGAGCGCCCGAATGACCATCTTTCCTGACTAAACTGCCGCCATCATTCCTACTATTAAACTCCGCATGTCACCCGGTGCAATATTCAAAGGTCAGAACAGCCCACTGCTGGAAACAGACCTCCAACCTGGCCCGCCTTTTGCAGTGATGGGATCAATCAAGGATCTGTCAATCCGTCATTAATGGCCTCTACATTGTTTTATGCATAAAGTTTCTTTTTTATGTGAAATGTTGCCAAGCGAGCAGGCGGTTCGCATGGTGTTAAGTGAATAGCACCGCCCGTGGACTTGCAAATGCTTTTGAATTCGAGCTCTGGCTACCTCACTCACCAGACGAAACGTGAAAGTATTTGTCATACTTCCACTTTACGCCGGTCTTCTGTGAGGTCGTGGTACTTACCCGGACGAGCCTGCCCATTCGTGCAACGGCCGAGGCTGCCGGGTGGCCCTACGACATTAAAAAACTTTTTTACTGTGGTGGGCCACGAAACTTTTCCAAGAAACAGTGAGCTGTGTGCACCATTGTGATCCGGCTATTTCTAACCGCTACTCTTTCGGCAAGTTTCGGAGTGGAAGGGATGAATCATCTTCGGTCCGCAAATAACCATCTCTAAATTCATCTTGTATGTTGCAGATGAGAGCTGTCATTACATCAAAAAGATAAACGGCGTAACCTCGGCCAGCACGATGGCAATGCTGCTATCCGTGCTAATGGGCTTGTTAGCATTGCACGTGTTGACATCAATGGTCATGCTGTTAGGTAAGTGTTATGGCAATCCATATACAGGCCTGATTTTATAGACGACGGACAGATTAACAGAGCATATACAGACTTTGATTCTAAATATGAACTTTTTTCAAAGATTATTTTTAATTTTTTAAAGATGGACATCCGATTAGAAATTCTTGCTTTACCGTCTCAATACAATAACCTATTGACGAGCACTAAAACTGTTCGCTGATCGGGTTGAGAGTGCCCACTCTTAACGGGACAAACAAACAATGTTTGAATTGATATTTTTCTGTTTATTTCTTGTCAAAATAAAATATTAACTGGCAAGCTAGCTCAGTAAGAACCTATTCACTATTGCCTTGAAGACGGAATCGACGAATATCGGACGGCAAGACGGACGCCGTTGTTCCGTTCGTTAGCTGTACGGATGATAAATGACGAATAATTGATCTTTGTGCAGAGTAAAAAGCTGTCCGAGCGTGAGGTACTGTCACACCTTTGCAAGGACGCGTAACTTCCTTGCAGCTGCCCTGAGATGGAGACAGCGAAAATAAGATTTTCTGTTTCCACAGCTGGCGTAATAAAGAACGATTATTTCCGCATCGTGGCCTCGTACATGTACGGGTTTGTCTCTTACGTACTAATGGGCATGGAGACCACGATCTTTTTTCACATAGGGAGGGACATCATATTTTTGACCATTATGCTGGTAAGTACCTGCTCCTAAACGCCACTTCCTTCCTAATACAATGATGTTGCTAAGCGCTTTTTTTATGTTACGGTATGCTTCTTTTAGCGCGTTTGGAAAAAAATGTGCGAGTAAAATTTCTATGAAGCGAGTACGCGGGCAGACCGTAACCCAAAAAGCGACATGAAGAAGTTGATTACAAAGATCAACCTCACGTTATTGCCATTGCGACTAATAACAACTTCTGACATTTGCCTAAAATTCCAAATTATTTAATAAAACCGTCATCACTTGCATTTAATTTCTTTTTTTGAATAAAGTAGTTACTGGCGTAGGGGATACATTTTTTTGTATTTTTTTTGTTACGCTAAACTCTGTAACAAAGTATAACTCCCTACGTGTGTACATAAACACACATACTTTTTTAATACGTATACGTTAAGAAGATCCTTTCTTTTCCTCGCTGTATTATATTAGGTGGGTTGAGTTCAACTTGAATATAGCAAGTTAAGGCTCTGCACGACAATGACTGAATATTGTAGCGATCTCGAAGACCATTCAATTAAAGCAAATTAATAACTTAGACACTTTGGCTGCCTCTCATCTAAGGGGTACGCCGGTCAGGGACGGGGCGGCATTGGAGGCAGCTGAAGTAAGTAAATAGCGCAAATATGAATCTTTATGTTCAGATTATGTATTTGTGCCATTTGCTGTTGAAACATTAGGTCCGTGGGGTCCCCGCACATCAAAATTTTTTAAAAGTTTATATCCTAGGCTTAACGCCGCGGCTGGTGACAAGAGAGCTGGTTCTTTTCTCGCTCAAAGGTTAAGCATAACTATTCAGCGAGGAAATGCAGCTAGCGTTCTTGGCACCATGCCGCGTGGATTAGGTTTATTAGATAATATGTAATTTTAGATAGATTTAATCTTGTAAATATAAGATCATTAAATCAAATACTTACAATATTTATTGATCTAATATTTACAAGATTAAATCTATCTAAAATTACATATTATCTAATAAACCATGTGTCCGTTTCGAATTAATTCTCGTTTCGCACAGGACAAGAACCAGGCAGGACTGGTCGAGAATTACGAGATTGACGCACTGCGCTTTGGCGGTGTATGTGCAATCCTTATAGTATATAAGGGCTTAACGGCACCTGTCATGAATCTGACGATGATACCTTCGATGCTGATTTATCTGCACCGCAGCATTGAGAAAACGGGGACGCCCCAGGTGACACGCGAAGTAAGTGCCCGCACTGCCTTTTTTAAATTGGCCATACATTCTCTCTTTGTGAAACTTTTTTTATTGGTTATAAACATTATTTGTTTTTCTCTGTTGATTAACATTTTGATTTAATTACTTTTTCTTCGTTCAATTTTTTTTTTCATTTAATCAATTTTTCCCAACTTCCTATTTATTCCTATCAATATTATCTATGCAAATATCACGTGCAACAGAATGGAAGTTCCTTTTAAAAAAATATATGTGCCGTTATTTTTTCGCAGTTTACCAATATTTCATAAAAAAATTAGCAGGGGTCTTGCACAAATCTATTCTCGTAATTGCATCACCTTTTGTGTAAATTACATTACCTTTTGTGCACACTTTGTACATAAATTAAATGTTATCGTTTTTCGAGATTAGCCATTGAATCGTCCCGTTACTATGCAGAGGAATTAAACAAAAACAAATCGTCTCTTTCTTTCAGCACTCAATCCACAGTCTGGGAATTATTAACGCCTATGAGTGAGTTTCTATAAATAGTTATTTTCTATCCCGATAAATGATATTTCTATATCTCTTTAATAAAAGAAAATTGCGGTTTTTGAATCTGTAACTCTCTCCATACATGACCGTCACCAATGTGCGAATTTATCGGACACTATTATAAGTACATTAATTGAAAAGTAGAACTTACATGTATGAGTACATTAATTGAAAAGTAGAAATTGTAAAACATCAGCTCCCTGGGATCATAGAGATTTTACGTTACAAACAATAAAAACTAAAGTTATTACATATGGTGGTGGGTATTGGGATGCGGTAGAATAACTCGGCTACGTTTTGCAGTCAGCCAAAGGACGGAGGCCTGGGGAATTTCCAACAGGACGGGACGCCCACTGTCAGTTCCGGGTGAGTGACGCGCGATGCGTTTTACTTACAACCCCGTGGGCGACATGCCATAGTTGACACACGCATGAGTACATGCGCGGCCCTGCCCACTGAGGAGCGCCTCAAACCCGTCGGTCCTGGCTAGCCCACCGGTTCTGCGTTCGATGAAACTTTAATAGTCTAAGGACTGGAAGCATAACATCACTTATACAAATACAAGTTTTCCTTACAACAATATAAGCATTTGTTTCCAATCGTTACGAACTTTGCGACCACAGGAAATGCTACAATTCGCATATAAGGTTATTTCATCTTTTATTCCCCCGCCAATATTCTCTCCGCTACACGGAAAATTAAAAAAACCGGCCAAGTGCGAGTAGGCCCGCGCACAAAGGGTTCCGTACCACTATCTATAAAAACGGCAAAAAAAAAAATCTTTTATATGGGAGCCCCACTAAAATTTTTCTTATTCTCTATTTAGTGTAGTTCAATTATTTAATAACAGTTAAGGTGTATGCAAGAGCTGTATTATCCTTCACAACACTTCCTGAGATACTTCTTACCTTTATTTTTATCTTAACGTTATTGTTTTATTTTGTTTCATTTAAATTATTTATTTCATTATTCATTATTTTTGTTTGCTATAAATATAATATTGTTTCTTATAATATATATTTTTCGGTAATTTATTTTTGCGCTTAATTCCTCTGTGCTCAAGAATAACATTTTAATTTGTAAATATGATGGCAAACTTAAATCGGTGACGCCGTCGCTGAGTTATTGTCTTCGATTCCCACGCGGGACCAGTATTTGTAATGATAATAGACAATTGTTCCGGATCTGGGTGTTTGTTTCCCGATGAGTGTTAACGTCAGCCGGGCAACCGGTCGTAGAAACATAGCCAAAACCGATTACAACAAGATTCACATGGTGTGTCGGCCCTAATTAGGCGGGACAAGACAAGACAATTCCAAAATTGCTCGGGATATCCACGTGCTGCGGGAGCTTAGCCTCGATAACCGGCGTAGGTGGAACACCACAGAACGTGTTTCCGATTCACGTCAACGGAAAGTATTTGGGATGGAGAATCAAATATATAAGACTAAGGGCGGCAACGAGGAAATGCAACAATTATGAAAATTTGACAGTGGCAGGTCCAAGCAACAGTTCACTGTTGCATGAAGCAGATCAATCCGGGAAAGTGCCGCGACGGCACAGAAGACCGGCGTGAAGCGGAAGTGGTTATTTTGCGTTGCGTCTGGCGAGTGAGGTAGCCGGGGCCCACTTTGTTAAAAGGTGGCAACGCATCTGCAACCCTACGAGTCAGTGGGCGGCGGGAATCACTTAACGTCACAAAAATGCACTCGCTTCAAGACACACAGCCACTTGTCGTGGCGCGGCACACGAGTCGCGACGGTCATGTTCTAATAGAACCTTCCAAATATTGATTGTTCCAGGATCGCCCGATTCCGATGCGAGAGTTGCTGCGCCGAATGTCATGTGGTTCCGGTGCAACACCAGGCAGTTCCGGCGCCGTCACACGCTTCCCGTATCCCGCCGCCGATGCCTCTCCCCGCGGCCACCAACGTGCCGAAGTCGATTTTGAAGTGCACGTTTAAATCGCTCTAAAAAGTAAAGTTTATGCTTTACTTTTTCGCTAAAAGTATGCTTTTAATAGAAAACAAAAAAGTAGTGCGCGTCGTAGCTTCAGAATCTTATGATATATTCCATTTTAATGAGTAGATTAGTTCCTTAAAAAACTATTGCATAGCATTTTTTATCAACTCATGCAATTATACTTATTTTTTTATTTATGCGGTATTTTTTTTCTTTGATATTAATTCATGTTACACTTTTTGAGCGTGATGACCGATAAGAAAACAATTTTTGTTTTGTTTTATTAAATAAATGTGAAGTTAATATCGTTTATAATATTTTTATTATCTTACAAAACATGTAGGTTATTCAGGAGTTTTATGATTTTATTCAGGAATTTAACCTATAGTTTCAATCGTAAAAATTCTCAAAGCCCGCGATAAAAGCTATGCAATAGCTTAAAAGTGCGTGTCGTAGCCGTAGCTTTTGAACTTAATATAGGATACTTTTCCCTCTTTCGAATAAAGCACAAATCCCATTTGAGAATCCCTTCGTGATTTATCCAATCTTCCGTCCATTGATTAGGGGCGAAGCGTGGCGAAGCGTGGCGAAGTTTACGCGACGTAACAACTTGTTGCTTCCACTCACCACAATCGTAGTACTCGCCCACAGTCAATGCAACTTCTATCCTCCTATCTATATTAAATGTGACTTTATCCTTCTAGTTATAAGGTTAATGTTGCCATGTTCGAATTTATTTTACGTAATGGAATTAATGGTTAAGATTGGTTAGGGGAGTGAACGAGAGGTCGATCAGTCGTCTCGTTCTCGCCATTCATATACATTCGTTTACCAAAGTCTTTGTGAAAGCGTTTAGCATTTAATTTAATTTTTCTTATAAAAGCTATTGGTTAGTACTGTATTAATGTTGTTATTTACTCATGGTTAATTATAAAATGATTACTGTACTTGTTTTGATTAGTTCTAAAGTTTAATTTATTGTTTTCTGTTATAATCAATCTGAGATAGGTACCTATTTAATTGTTTATAAAATTAATGTTGAATTTTACACATGGTTTATTATAAAATATTAACTATACTACTTTTGAGTATTTCTAATAGTTTAACTTATTGTTTTCTATTATAATCAGTTCTTACTGATATGACTATGTTATGACTAGCTCTAAGTTAGTTATCTAAGTTTTACAAAATTAATGTTGATTTTTACACATGGTTTATCATAAAATAATTACTGCACTACTTTTCATTATTCCTAAAGTTAAATTTATAGATTAATTTTAATCATTATGATTAGTTAATAATTATAGTTTCTTAATACATTATGGCAGTAGTTTAGAAATATATGTACTAAATGTCGTAAAATGATTGTGTTTTATTTCGTTCCCCTGACGTCCTATTTATAGAACTATTTCATCGCATATCACCGCTGTAAAATGTAAGAATGTCTATCTTAATTTTCATTGCATTGAGCTATGGGTACTTTCTTACGACAAATCATTACAGATTTTGCAATATCAAAAATCTAAAAATTCATCAAACCACGAGAAAGCGAACCTAGGATTGAATGAATGAATGAATACTTTTATTGTTCACCACAAATAAAAGGATACACAAAATTGACCATTTTAAACTATACAAAATGGAATGCACAACTTTGCGGTCTTATTGTAGGCTTTGCACCTGCAAAGCCTACAATAAAGCAAAGCCTACAGAATTCGTTGTATTGTTGCTACCAAGCAACAATTCAACGAATTCTGTAATCACGATTGCGTTAACATAAACAATAAAGCTGCAAAACTTGCAATATACAGCGTGTCGTTACCATCGCGACAATAAATGAACACACATATAGGGAATAACTTTTTAAAGTTGTATTAAACATTTAAATTCTTTAAACATCAATATTTACAGAGTTATTAAATTTTCCAAAACAAAGTATTTTAGAACACCCTTACCTATAAAAGCGTAAGTTAATAAAAGTTAAACGTAAAGTTCATTTGTAAAGGTCACAAAGCATATGAATGGGTTGAATGAATTTAAAAAAGACAAAACATACTGTTAGAAGGAGAGGCTTATAATACGACGCTGTGGCGCGAGTTGTGTAGGTGTTACAAATTTTGTTTCTTTTTTACTTAATTAGTTTGTATGAAAAATTTTTTTTTTTAAAAATATATTTTTGTCGCGATGGTAACGACACGCTGTATATCTAATATATAAAATTCTCGTGTCACGGTGTTTGTAATTGAACTCCTCCGAAACGGCTCGACCGATTTCCGTGAAATTTTGTGTGCATATCGCCCAGGGTGGAGAATCGGACATCTATTTTTCATCCCCCTAAATGTTAAGGGTGGTCCTCCAAACATTTTTTTCTACCCTAATAATAATCTATAAGGCAAAACAAAGTTTGCCGGGACAGCTAGTATACTTTATACTTGAAACTATTTAAATTATAAATCATGGTACGTGTGACCCTCACGCTACCATTTACGGGCATAAGATAGGCGACCGCTCCAATTACACTTCGGTAATCAACACCATAATAGCATGTAATAAAAATAAAATAAAATAAATATAATTATTACGATGTCTGAACGGAACATCAAATATTTTTGTGGTACCTACAGCCAAGCAGAACCTTTTGTTGTTGCATGAATAATAAATAAGGTAGAAGTGTTTATACATATTTGCATTTCGTAAAAATAATAGGGTGCCTAAATAGTGTACTTAATATGATCCATCGTCAACACGTAATTGTGAAAGTGAAAAAATTATACCTCAGCGACTTTGTTTTTCGTACACTTTAATTTAGTTAGGATTTTGTCGCTGAAATTACCTTTCTGCACTTCTTAATTTTTTCCAATAAATACCTGTAGTTGCAATCCGTTGGTTTTATATGAAATCATTAAATCGATCGGTTTAAACTCGCGGGGTCGAAAGTTATCCTCTTTAAAAATATATAAAATCGGAATAGCAACACTAAACGTATGGGCACGAGTAAAATCAAAAAAAAAAAAATAAACACGTATTTTATTCAATCCAAAGTGTCCGAATGTTGAATGTGCACGCGACTGTACTTCAGATGTTCAGCGGCTTCGAGGGGTCCAACGACATCTTGCGGGTGTGGCCGACAACAGTCTTAAGACGTCGCTGGAGGCTGGCGGTTACCGTCTGCATCGTGAACTTCCTAGACGAGTCACGCCTCGACTTCTGCAACGGAGCATTGCACTCTTATAGTCTACTAGATGTCAAAGACCTATCTCATCCCTACTATCCTTACTTCCTTACTTATATTATAAAGGCGAAAGTTTGTATGTATGGATGGATGTTTGTTACACTTCCACGCAAATACTGCTGAATGGATTTTAACGAAACTTTACAATAATATAGCTTATATACGGGAATAAGACAAAGCCTAATTTATATACATGTCTTTCTGTTTGAATGCAGCTAGTAATAATATATATCTTTCACATATATGAAAGTAGTTTTTAATATCTACTGAACCATATTATATATATAGTGTGCAATCAGTTGTTGCAGAATGTTGACTGTTCGACTCTCAAACTTATGGATAGGGAAGAAAAGAACAGCGACTTGAAATTATTCCTACTATACTATGAGCTTACGTCGTCATATGCGGGTAGGATCACTATGTGCTTAAGGAAAATGGGAAATAATATGGAATGTTTATTACACTGATGTGTAGAGAAAAGAAAGAAAACGTGTTTGTAGAGAAAAGAAATCCGAAAGACGTGGGTTTGGGCGGCGAGAAACTTCTTCCTATTTCCTACAAATTTTAATGTTTCATTTTAAGTGCAGAGATTAGCGATATAAAAAATTAATTGTAATCTCACGTTCCAATTTCGTATTAAAACGATATTTGAAATTGTTTGTATACTGTAAAGGATATAACAGCAGATGCTTGGTGCATTTGGAACATTGTTATTAAAACAATGTAGATAACAGTCGATGTCTTTTTTTGTTGCTTTTGAGGAACTACGTTGTTTAACAGATTATAAATGCCTACAGTCACCAATACCCGAGTTCTGGATACATATTAATTATAGATATATAGATATATGCTGTCTGAAAAATATTAGACATATGCTGTCGTGAACTTTTATTTAACTGTTTGAGACAAACAAGACATTATGTTCGTGTAACTATAACGGTTGAGCCGTGATAGCTCTGGCCGGGTGCTCACTTTTAATTCAATATACTCGAGCACACATGAAAATGTTTATTTAAAGTGCTGACCTATCTCGTGCTCAGCGGTGAAGGAAAACATCGTGAGGAAGTCGGCTTATTATCGAAATAACAACACAAAAAAGATCATCGATTTAGAAGATATGGAAGTGCGCCAATCCAGTAGGGGCGCGTGGTGGACTATGCCCTAATACCCTCTGTAATAGAGGAGGCCTTTCGCCCAGCAGTGGAAGATAAGTAGGAATTTTTACAGGAAATTTTCCGATTTACTTTATACTTAACGTAATATTCTGGCCAAAAAATCTATATAAATTGTAACCGATGTGTTCTCAAAAAGTGCGTGATTTATGCGCAACTGATTTATTTCACGCGTGATCGTTCATAAATAACGCGTTATTTTACTGTTCACGCACACAAACGGGTAAAGTTTAGGTATTCATGAATGACTAACGCGTTGTGAACAAGTTTTCTTTTTTAGGGAATAGAATGGTAATTTTTTTGATAAAAAAAATAGTTTGTATTTATTTCACTAAACAATTATACTACCGAGTCTGAACCTCCCGTGTGGGCACCTTTAAAAAAGTCTCCCAGTATGTATGTTATAGTAATCTTGCACGATTTAATATGGTATGGAACTAATAGGTACAATAAACCGAAAATCCATAATTTCCCTGCAACTATGTTTACGTTATAGCTTTTTTTAATTCAAAACTGACCAGCACTTGACTGCCATCCCACCTGATAGTAAGTGGCGATGCAGCCTTTGATGGTAAGCGCGCTAGCTCAGTAAAAACCTATTCACTCCTGCCTTGAAGAAGCCTACTTTGTAATTACTGCGTCTTTAGATGTTGACTGCCACGTTGATATTTTGACGTCCATTTTTTACGTAACAATTTTGTAACGATATCACGCACCCAAACGAACTTGTGTGCGTGTTAGTTATGAATGATCGCGCGTAAAATAAATGCGTATAAATCACGCACTTTTTCACGCTCCTAAGTAATTAATAACATCCATTTGAACAGATAAGTTATAAATATTTTAAATCACTCCTAAGTAATTAATAACATCCATTTGAACTTATCTGTTCAAATGGATGTTATTAATTACTTAGGAGTGATTTAAAATATTTATAATTTTTATATATCATTATTTATGTTTAGAATTAAATTAAAATGGATACACTTAGAAAAGCCTCTTCCTGTATAATGATTAAAATGTTACAAAATATAAATGATATTTAAGATTAATGTTTAAATAATAATTTGTGATCATAAATTTGAGAATTTCAATACTGTAAAATTATTAGGCACTGTATTGACTGCTTAACTTTTTATAAAAAACCATTGGTTATTAAATTTATTGCTTAATTATTTATCTGAACTTTCAATATAACATCAATTACAATTAAATAACATTATTCTGATACTTATTTTTATATTTTAAGTAATAAATAACATAATTATGTTTACATTTACATCTTATTAGTAGCGCCACCTGTTGACGATCTTTATAAAGTGGGGTTTGGTTATTAAAATAAATTAGTAATTTGTGTAAAATAAATCATTGGAAGTTATTTAAAATTCAGTATAACGTTAATATTGCTTTTTGAACTATATTTCATAATTAATTGTACAGATATTTCAATTAATGTTGTAAAGAAGTTGCAGTTGGTAAACCACGTGATAATGTGTGTGTGTGTTTTTATTATAATGGAGTTTAGATATGTTATTGCTGGCGTATCCTCGACATATATTAATAAAGATTATCGTATTTAATATATAGGAAGATATAGTATGAACAACAGCGCCATCTGTGATTATTCGCTATAACTAGCATGGAACGCTACGCAGGTGAAACATATAAAGCCACAATTATTAGTGTTATAACTTCGCAAGGTCATCGTACAGATGGCAGTGTTCTCAAACATAATGTTCTCAACTTGCGCTATAACATAGCATGTTGTGAAATTTTTTTTTTTTATTTTTATTAGCGTCGAAATAGTTTTTTCAACATAATCCGACCCTTATTAGGCTTATTGAAATTTCTCTTGCACATAAAATGCATGCAAAATGTAGGATGTGCTTGTCATGTATTTTATATACATTTTTAAGAAAGTTGAATTGTGTACAATACATAAGGTAACGTACTACAATACTAGTGAATAGACAGCGTATACTTTATTCCAAACAATAAGATTTTGTTTCAATTAAACATTATGAATAGTACTGCTGTTATGATTGAATAGTAATTTGTGTTAATAAATGTTACAGGTTTAATTTTATAGATGGCAGTGTAATAAATTTAAAAAAATTCTGCTACAGTTAATACTGAAAGAAATGTATTCAAAAATTAAAATGACCAAAGTGCTATTGCCTATAACCTGTATTTGAGCCGAGGAGGGTTCTGCAAGTCCCGTAAGTTCAGCGGGCTCAGTGCTCGAGTGTCCGCCAAGATCTTCCGGCGCCCGTATCTCTTCTTGGCTCCGGTTCGCCGAATCGGAGTCCGAACATATCTTTGAGGATAAAAGCGATAAAGGAACTTGCTTAAGTAGCAAAATACTTAAGTAGCAAAACACCACAATTGTAAAATAGATATATATATATATATATATAACGAATGTTAACAAATTATTAGAATACTAGCGACCCGCCCCGACTTCGTACGAGTGCAATGTATTATACACATAAACCTTCCTCTTTAATCATTCTGTCTAGTAGAGAGCCGTATCAAGATCCGTTGTGTAGTTTTAAAGATCTAAGCATACACAAGGACAGACAGACAGCGGGACGACTTTGTATAAACACATACATAGTATAAATATGTAGTGATTTCTATGTAGTGATTTTTCATGGCGCAGCAATCTTCGCTGTTGCAACAATGGGCAAGGACCTCGACCTCACGAAAGACCGGCGAGTGAAAATGTTATACTTTGGTGTCGCGTCTGGTGAGTGAAGTAACGGGACCCGCTTTTTAAAAGCTGTCAAGACATCTAAGATACCCTCAGGATTTGTAGATGTTCTTAGGCGGTGGTATTCACATAACATCAAGTGGACTGCCTGCTCGCTTTAACTATTCACATAAAAAATCTCCTACAATCAACATTTATCTACTGCATAAACAATTTTTTTTCTCTCTGAATTATTTATGTACGTGAAACATTTATGTACGTTTAGGCTTGACCAAGAGGTGGCGCTAGTATGTACAAAAAGTAAAGTTCATTACAACTTTTGCAACAATTACGAAAAATGGGTACAACCAATAATAAGAATAAATAAAATTGTGTCATTTGTGATATGCGGCAGATGTGAATTACTTTAATATGCAGTGGCGGTTTTCCCAGCAGGTTAAGTAGTTTGCCGTCTAAGACGGCAGATTTCAGAGATCGAAAAAATGGGTCCAAATAAAATTATTTTGTCTTACATAAATAAAAATAATCATTATTGCAATAAAACTTCTTTAGGCGCGACTAGGGGGTTACTGAAGTGAGTGCTTTGAACTGCTTTGGACGACGACAATGCAACGGAAACGCGTTACGACAATAACGCGTTTATATAGTATTCGATTTTTAAATATTTATGCTGTATTTTTATTAATTTTATTATTATTATTTATTTTATAATCCCTTATTCTTTTAGTTTTATTTAAATGCTTTCATTTTTTGTAAACATGGAACAAAACTAGTTTCGAATAAAAATTACACAAATTTAGTACTATAGAGTATATTGTATTTATTATTTTAGGCTCATAAAATCACATGAGCAACATAGATTAATAACAAAACAGAGAGTGTGAGCATCTCCGACGAAATGATCGACTACCAAATATAAACAGCACTATATGTGTGTTCATTTATTGTCGCGATTGGAAAGACACGCTGTATATCCATAATTGTATGAATCGATATTTGCCCATGCCTAGTTGCAGATGTCCATGGGTGGCGATAATCGCTTAACATCAAGTGAACTGCCTGTTTGTTTCAACTGTTCACAAGAAAACGACTAAATCACGGCCGAGCGCTGGTCAGTATCTGATAAAAACTGGCTAACTGCATCATAGCCAACGGTAAGCCGGTCGTTGTTAAGAACTGGCTAACTGTACACAGCCAAGGTCGTTAAAATCTGGCCAACTGCACACAGCCAAAGCTTAGCCGGTAGTTGTTAAAATCGGCAAACTGTACACAGCCAAAGCTTAGCCGGTCGTCGTCATAAACTGTCGTCCGGTCGTCGTCATAAACTGGATAACTGTACACAGCCGAAGCTTAGCCGGTCGTCTTTAAAACTGGCGAACTGTACATAGCCAAACCATAGCCGGTCGTTGTTGAAACCGGCCAACTGTACTCAGCCGAAGCTTAGCCGGTCGTCGTTAAAAACTGCAACTGTCAATCACCGGTATGACGGAGACCCTCTTGGGCGGATCTTCCGGCGGGGCGGCGTGGACGGGCTTGCGGTGCACGGTGTCCACGCAGAGGCGGTTGTCCTCGTTCGCGTTGAAGATGAAGAAGGAGGCGGCCGCGGGCGGCAGGCACCGCGACAGCGCCCGCCCGCCCACCAGCAGCGCGCACAGCACCGCCAGCAGCACCGCTATCACCGGCGCCACGCCCAGCCGCTCCACGGGGAGCCCGCATTGGGACTTGCGCTCGTCGAACCTGATCAGGCAGCAGTTAGGCGTGTTTCATGCCCGGTTCCTATGTTCAACGAACGGCCGTTAGTTACGCAGCTCCGTAGCTCCCATAACGACTAGCAGATAAAAGGCGTGTACGCCCGGTTCCTATATTAACAAAACGAGGCGTTTTCTTAACGAGCCGCTGCATTACCTACGGAAAGTGAGTTACTAGCGTTCCTTTAATCTACAAGTGTTTATGAAAGTTCCGAAGCTATGTTACTAACGGCCGTTCGTTGAATATAGGAACCGGGCATCAATCACGGCGTGATTGTTACAGGTAAATATAACACGCATCTCGTGACAGTTCCCGTTCCGCACAAATTGCTCATTGACATGCTGTCACAAGCTTTTCTTTATTCACGCTTGCTACTGTTCACTTACCTGGAAAGAGATAAAAACTGTTACACCTTGTCGCAGTAGGTACTGAACACTGTCAATGGTGCAAGTTCTTTCTTTTTCTTGCATCAGTCCTATAGCTTTGTTAGAAGGAGAAGTACGGACGTTACCATAGAGTAATATTACCACAGAGTATACGGTAACTGATATTACTATGGTAACATTTACACAAATAATGATAACATAGTATGAAATAACAGGCTTTTACTTTGTGACAAGTATTTGTCACTGTTACTTTTAAGGAACAGAAACAGGCATAATAGGTACTCGATTTAACCTAGTATCCTCCTACTCCTACTCAACAGTTGTGTTGAGTCATCACGTGCCGTTTCGACCGCTTTGTCTATTTGTTCATCACAAAAGAGTCCACGCCGAAACAGAGTAAGCTTAGGGGTTCACAAAAAACTAAAAGTGATAAGTAATACTTTAATTAAAGGTAATAAATACCTTTTAACAGACAGTAGAGACATAAACAAAAAACAAATGTATAACAGCATTGTTGATAAACTAAAGGTAAATAAATAACGTAAATATTAAACCAAAATGACAGTAAAAAATAGAAAATGGAAACATTACAAAAAGAAAACGGATAGAAAAAAGAACATTTCACTCGAGAAAATAAATCCAATTCTTGTGCCCGCACCAGAATTGGATTTGGATTGATACGTTCCGGCTGGATCGATGTTGAACACCGATATTTTTTCTGTGTGTGCCTTTCGCAAGGAGGGGCACATATCTGTGGGTTTACCTATTTAAAAGATAAATTTGAAAGACCCGTTAGTTGCCAATAGTGCGACATCCTCGTAATTATATGTGAGACAGCATAATGAGGAATTGATAAGCACATTCTAATATTTAAAATTTTGTAGATTACACCAAAGCCCACCACATTGGGACCGAATAACAAGTGCCACTTCCAGCTAGCCAATGACCGTGTTTATGACTCACGTTTTAAGTAAACAGAATATATAAAAGACACATGTTTTAAGTAAAAATTCTCAAGCAGACCCAGCCGCACAAGGACACACAACACCTGGGAGCTTGTTGATGCGTTCACAGCCACTTTAAGAAGTGGGTTGTGGTTACCTCGCTCAAGAAAAATGTCATGTTCACGCTGGTCTTGTGTGATGTCCGATTCGCGCGAACAGCGGAAACTGTTGTGTGCCTACCAAGGAATAATCTGTGTGGCTGACTTGGCGCCGTACATAGGTGTGAAAATTTTACTCTTGAATTTAAAACGATTTACGCCCGGTTTCTGAAACACTGATCATCAGATAGTTAAACTGCTGCTTAGTTAATTTCTACCATGATCAATGTTTTTTTTTTTATGTGAAAAAGCGAGCAGACGGTTCAACTGATGTTAAGTGAATACCGCCGCCCACGGACATCTGCTACACCCGAGGGTTCCAGGTGCGTTGACAACCTTTTGAAAATTGGGCTCCGGCTACTTCACTTACCAGACGAAACGCGAAAGTACTTCCACATTACGCCGGTCTTGTGTGAGGTCGTGGTAATTACCCGGACGAGCCTGCCCATTCGTGCAACAACCGAGGCTGCTGAATGGCCCTACCACCGTGTAAAGTGTAGTGATTCAGAAACCGGGCGTTATAAACGAAGAAGTCATTGGTGGATGCTATGGCTAATCACCCAACAAGTCCCGAGGCTGACTAGGTTATTTCCCACTGTGGGATTTCCACGAAGTGAAACAATAAAAGTGTAATGAGCATTTAGTCGTGACGATGCACACCAGTCGGCGACGCCACAGTTGTTGATGCCGTCGCACACCACGCCGCTGGTGAAGCAGTAATGGTGTTCGTCTATTGTGCATATGGTCTCGTTGCGGCGGCTGCATCCGTCTGCCGGGGCGGTGCGGGCGGCGGTCACCGTCACTTGGTACATGTTAGCCTGTCGATGAGATGGCAACAATAAGGCCGTCGAACACAAAAAGTCATTATGGCTTCCATGGCCACCACATGGCGCGATATTGCTGTCAAAATTCTGGCGAAAACAATGAACGTTATTAAAAGTATACCACCGTCCGTGGCCACTGTTGCCTTATTAAAATACCAGCTAAAAGCATACGAGAAGTATATAAGAATGCAGAGTAGATTTTTGTCAGAATCCAAAATACAATATGATTAGTTCCGTAAGACAGCTACATCTTACTAATATTAAGTCTTTACGGAGCCGTGATGGCTCATTGTCCAGGCGCTGTCTTTTAATTCAATATACTCGAGCAACCAGAGGTCGATCCCGGTGCCGGCACAAATAAATATGTAAATTTAAGTGCTGACTTATTACGTCTCAGCGGCGAAGGAAAACATCGTGATATTTTTTAAATAATAGGTTGGGGAAAAAGTTTCTTCGCATTTTATATGAAAATTCAAAACATTTTAATAAAGTTTAATTACATTTAACAAAAGTATGTAGGTGGTATTTTGTTCAATAACTTTCTGGCATCTTGTAGATAGGGACATGAACAAATTGCTATAGAAATTCTGGGGCTTCTGATCAAAAAACCGCGACTAGTGGTTTTGGCAGTCCTCTCGTTATGTTAATCTGACACTGCCTAAAGAATTCTGAAGTGACCGAAACAAGTGGAAATCTGAAGATGCAAGGTCAGGACTATACGGCGGATGCATTAACACCTCCCAGCCAAACTCTCTTAATTATTGCTGAGTGGCCAAAGATGTGTGAGATCTAGCGATATCATGATGAAAAATCTCACCCCTTCTGTTGATTAATTCCGGCCGCTTTCTCTACTTCTTGCTTTAGTCTCATCAGTTGTTCGCAATAGAGTTCACAATCAAAGGTCTTGCCTGGCGCTAACAGCTCATATTGAATAATGCCCTTCCAACCCCATCATACACACAGCATTACCCTGAGAAAACCGGGTTTCGCCAGAGTCTGTGAAGGGTGAAAAGCCTTTAACCAAGACCTTTTTCACACGTTATTGTCGTACGTGTTCCAATTTTCATCACCAGTTATCAGGTTTTTCAAAAACGGTTTGGTTTCATTACGCCGTAATATAGAATCACAAATGAGTACACGGTTCATTACGTTTCTGTCAGTGAGCTCATGAGGCACCGACATATCGAGCTTTTTTCGTCGATTAATTTTCTTTAGACGGAGCGCATGGAGGAGAGATTATCCGCCATATTGTTAATGTTTGTGATACTCAATTATTGATAATATTTTAAAGACTTATTTAAAGAATTTTTTTTTTGTTGTATAATTAATTTTAATAAGTTAAATAATCATTGGTATTAGTATAACTTTGCTGTGTATGGGTCAGTAAGGCATAGACGTATTATGAAACTAGAAGGTTAGCACTGAAAATCAGCGCTTGACTTCAGGGCCTTGACTTCCGGCATAGCATAATGCTGAGCTGCTAACCTAATTTACCAGAATAGGGCGTGCAATATTTATGGTTTGTTAAAGTTCTTTTTCATTTGTTTATATTTTAATTATGTATTTGTGTTCTTTCGCTTTACTGAACTATTTATAAGTATTTTTTTTATTTTCTTTTATTTTTTGTTAATTTTAGTTTTTCTTTCTCTTTTATTGTGTGCGTCCTTTTTTTTTGGTAAATAAATGTCTTTTCTTTCTTTCTTTCTTCTTTCTTTTCAAATGCGCCAAAACTGTTTTATGGTCAATTCCCAATTTTTCAGCTACATGTAACTACTGATATGCCGATTTTGCTCCACTTTTTCAAAAATGCCATCCATTTTATCCGTAACAGGGCGCCGTAAAATTTTCGGATTGAAAACGCTTAAATCAAACTTGTGCTACTCTCACAGACATTGCATTAGGTCCATAAACATCACAATTTTTTTTCGCGGCTTGCATTTTTACCTTTTTATAGTAAAATGTATCGAATTTCTTCATTAGAATCACTCATTGTAACAGTAAGAAAAACAAATGAAAATCACGCATTTTCCTAATTTGAATTTGGAATTATCTTTTTTTAAATTTAAACTTTTTAATAATACCAAAACCAGCCAGATACAAATGGTATAGCCGAAGAGATTATATTATAAGTTTATACATAATATTTGCGAAAAGAGTTTTTCCCCAACCTAATAGTAACGAAAAACATAAGTATTTCGAAGATGTGTGAAGTCCGCCACTCCGCAGTGGGGTAGCGTGGTGGACTGTGCCCTGACACTGTACAGAGGTCTTTGCCCAGCGGTGGGACGTACTGTTACTTCACTTTTCCGGGGTACCAACGTTCATGTCCGTGTTGACGCTGCTGTTGCTGATAAAGCGGAAGCGTATCCTCTCGCGGAGCGTGACCACGTAGTAGGGCGATGCGATGTCCCGCCCGCCCAGCATGTCGCACAGACGGAGGCACTTGCTCCGCTTGAGGATGACGAACGCCTCCCGATTTAGGGCGCAGTTGTCCGCTATGCTGTTCGGGTAGCGGATGACGACCAGCAGGCTCAACTGCGGCCCCTCGGTGGACACCTCCACCACGCAGCCGTAGTCGAAGTCATTCAGCGTGCGAAACACCTTCGGGGTCCAATGGGCCTCTTACAGTTTCTTATACACCACTTCGCGACAGTCTTCTGTGAATTCATGACTTCACAGAAGACTGGCTCGAAGTGGAGTCATCATGGTAGTTACCCGGACGCACCTGCCCATTCGTGCAACATGGAAAACATTTGAACTAGATTGTTGCGTGGCCCTAACACAGTCGAATATAATAAAAAGTAAAAAGTTCACCCCAGTGGCAAGCTTGTGCCCGTCGGTCATTGTCCGTAATTATTTTAAATTTGTATAATCCACCGTCACTATTTTATTCATTAATTATTTGTAAAGCTTAACTGTCACAGCTTAACAGAAACATTATTACACAGGCTCCTACAGCCCTTGAGGTTAAGAATGTCTACGTACGTGACTGCATTATTATCTTATACATTTAATCGGAATCTCGGAAAGGGCTCCAGCGATTTTCATGCAATTTTGTATGTGCGTAGATTCGAGGGCGAAAAATCGATCTAGCTAGGTTTCATTTTTAGAAAATGTCCTTTTATCCCAGTTTTCAGGGAATGAAAAATATCGATATATTCGAATGTGACGGTAAATTTACGGTTCTCTAGGTGCTTTTATTTATTATAGGCATCTTTAGTTATATTGTCAATTTCTCAGACATGGGAACGGGTTCCTCAAAAAACAATAAAGCTTGTTGCTAAACAATTATGCACGTACCTATTGTATGAATTCGTTTGTAACTTGAGCGATTGTTCAGGTACCTACTCCGTTACAATTAACCTATCTGTACCTACGTTTTTAGGCAGGGAACTATAGCTGATAGAATTTTAGATTTTCGGCATTTGATTATAGATTCAACCGTGATAATTGTCAATCACTGCGTAATGTCTTTACTGTACGCATAAAGCGATAATAGTGCAGTGTGCTTACGTCTGTTGTACTAATTTCGGATGAGGACCATACACCAAGTGAAGTTCCACATCCTTTATCAGCGGTTGATTAATTGCGCGCTGCTAATAATAGCCGGGCTGTACCAAGGTGGTCGTGTCGGACATTCCCATGCCGAAGGAGAGGTCGAAGCGGAGGTGACGAGAGGCGGCGCACTCGCTGCTGATGTCTTGTGGCCGGTACAGCAACAGTAGACCGTTGCCGCTCACCGACGCCGCCAACGATAGACAAAATAACGCGCACAGATACCACATACCGGCGACAGCGCATGAGAACTATGCAGCCACGACTGTGCTACGCGATTGTAGATTTCGCACAACGCATAACGAAGGCAACTCATTTTTATTGTGTTAGGCGAAAATCGACGGGAATTTTTTTTAACCAATATTTGACAAAAAACATATTCTCATTGTTATCATTAAAATCCATTTGATAGAGCCTGTAGCGATCAATTAATTTCCAGAGTGTGTTATCATTTAAATAATCACTAATGTTATATAGCATTTAACAACAAACGTCCCTTTTTTTGAATTTAGCAACTGATTCGTTTTAAATGTTCTCTGTTATTTGCGCGGTCTAGTTGTGCGTATATAGAATAAAATTGTTTGTTCCTAATATTAATTCATATTTTCATGACTCGAAAAATCATTTCAATCATAACATTTTCTTGCATCAACTCGACACAACAAAACAAACGCACAAAATTTTTATTTCTTTGAATAAATTTCTTAGCGATTCTTTGGGGCCTAGGTAATAAACTCTCGAATAGCTCTTTTTTTGGAGATGAAGATAGTGTTTAAGTTATATATACTTAAAGTAGAATGCCGTAAGACATTATGCGCACTAACTCAAAGAATTATAGCAAAATTTCAAAAAGATGTTATTGGCTGCCATGTTAATCGCTTTGCAACCAACTTCAGGTCCTTTTCATTTCATGTCTTATCTATGTTCATGTCGGTGTCAGTGTGCGCGCGTATCGTAAAAATTTAACTCGTAATTTTTCCCAAACGTGCCAAAAGTATAACTAGTCCATTGAAACAAACGTAGTGATTACATTCTCTTCGCATTGAAATGTTACATAAATTATGTCATGGGCATTTGTCAGTGGACGCAATTTTATTTTTTAGATATCAAGGGGGACCAGAATATAGTTAAATCCAAGTTTATGGGGTTGCGACCCTTATCCCACGGCCGCTATCTTGGTAAAAGGGATTCAAATGGTTTTTATGGTTTATTTGACGAACAAAAGGTCTCACAAAGAAATTACTTAATATTTTTGTTAAAAATAAAATACTTACCCGCAACTTTTCTCGACTAACTTTTAGTCGTAGAACCAAAAATAAAAAAGGTATAAGAAATTATAAGAGAACATTAAATTTAAACGCATTGTTAACTGCTTATTATGGCACCGTCAAATCCAGGCTGTGATATATAATGGTATAATGTTTGGGGAACTCGACTTATAAAGATTTAGCTTTCAAAGCTCATAAAAGATTCGTTTCAAATTAAAGACGTTGATGAGTTGCAAAAAATATTTTAAATATGTAAAATAAAATTCTGAAACGTCCTTATGTCTATGAAACTGCTGTAGTATTTGTAAAAAGTAACGCCGCACATTTTCACAGTTATCAGACGTTGAAGTTAGCCCCTTATGACAAACATAATTACCCTAGTGAATTTTTAATAACTTGTATGAATACTAGCTGTCCCCGCTTCGCTGGGTCTTCAACATATTAAAAAAGTCAAGTGAAAAAAATATAGGTTCCGGAGTAATCACTAACATATCATATACTAAAACCTCCGAAACGCTGCATGTTTTGGTATGAGTAATATTCCGATCGGTTCAGTAGATTTCGCAGTATAACTGAACAAAAAATCGGCTCTCTGGTAATAAATTGAAGTCTATCAATATTGTTCGCACAAGTTAAATTAAGATTTTTTTTCATACGAACATTAACTGATATTTCTTATTTTTTTCTTTCTACATTGACGTATAAATATATGTAGATACTATGAACAGCACTATTTGTACGCTCGTTTAGATAAAAAACATGCGATATTTGAATAGATCTATGACATATACTGCATTATAGAACCATGATTTTAGTGTATTATTAGTTTATGGTAGTTAGTACAAGACTGTCAAATTGCAGCCTACTCGGTTTCTGTTGCAAGAATGGGAAACCTCCTCCAGGTAGGTACGTAGAACGACCAAACACAATCAAAAATATTATTATTTCGCCTCTCATCTGAGAGTATAGTATCCTGGACAGTGTTAGATTATTAAATTGCAGGCAAAGCGTTTGCGAACCTACTACTCGCGGCCAAACACGGTCAACTATATTCAACCTGCTGTTACTTTATTATACATTTGAATTTCGCACCCTTAGGATTTTTTTGTAAATAAATATACCGTAAATATACAAATACCCAGACACTTGAAAAACACTGTTCATTATGCAATGTTTTTCCAGTAGTGGGGATCGAACATATCCACTCTTGCGATCAAATCAAATCATTTATTCATCGAAATAAAAAATATACATTTCATTTATCGATAGTCATTTTTAAATCTACCACCGTTTCATAATGAGATTCCTCTAACGGAGAAGAAACAGGCGAAACTCCGTATGTATCCTCTTTTCTGTCATTTTTTTTTTCAAACAATTACATTATGTATTCTAATGGTTTCCATTCGTGCAACAGCCGAGGCTGCTGTTGCACGAATGGAAACCGGGTAAGTACGCCAAAACTTTCGCGTTTCGTCTGGTGAGTGAGGTGGCCGGAGCCCAATTTTCAAAAGTTGTCAACGCATCTGTAACCCTCGGGTGTAGCAGATGTCCATCATCATCATCATCATCATTTCAGCCTGTTTGAGTCCACTGCTGAAAATAGGCCTCCCCCACAGACTGCCATGAAGCGCGATCCTGAGCCACCTGCATCCATCCACCTGATGTCCATGGGCGGCGGTATTCACTTATCAGGTGACCCGTCTGCTCGTTAGGCTACTTTTCGCATAAAATACAGTACAATTTTTTTTTTGTAGAAACAGCTTAGGATGAAGATGCAGGTTTTCTACCCACTACGCCAATCAGGTAATGAATATATTATTAATACGGTAATTTAATTTAATAACAAAACGTTATTTTAATATTTTCGAAATAACTACCGTACGTCAAATCCACTTTTTGGATTACAGATGGATTGGACTTTTTAGTTCCAAGGGTACCGCAGAAATCCCCTTTCCCTAGTTTCCATACATAAAAGGTAAGATTTTTATTTCGGGATCCAGGTTTTATTGTTAGGTTATGTATTTTAATAATTAAGCTTTTTATATATAACCTACCCTTCTAAGAAGAAGAGCGGAGAAGACAGCAGCTAAAATCCCAGCCATTATTATTCGCTAAAAACGGCTACATACACGAAACGATCTAACTTGATTTTATGGCAAAATTTGCTAAATTAAGAAAGTAAATAATAAAGGGACCTGATCCAAATTCCTTTTCAGAGCAGGAAATAATTTGAATTTAACGACTGATTGTAACCGCGAACACTTAAACGTGTTTCAAACGTCAGGAAATGACAAAAAAAGATTAAATATAATAAAGGTAATATATAAATGATAATAAATAAGGAAACTCAATAAATTTCAAAGAATATTTTTTCGTGCCCCTCTAGGGCTTAAGTATCTACTAGGAGACTACTAATTCATATAGTACAGATAGATCTTTACTCCTAGTGTCCAACGATGCTAACACCCAGTTTCCGAAAGCGCAATCAATTTTAATTTACGATAAATCTCTTGTCAATCGTTGTTTAACATGATCTGAGTTGCTAGAACGTCAAACAACATTGATTTTGATTTGCAATTAGTCACTGATCAACGGACAATCAACAGAAAATCGAGTTTCTGAAAGCGTTTTTCGGTGGTCAAGGAGCTGTAGTTTTATTAAGTAATCTGTCAATTTGGACGATCAATCGTTGGTTAAAAATGTTATTTATAAAAATCTTAGTTTTTATTAAAAATAAACATAATTCCCTAATACTTTGTTAGGACATTCATGTGTTGTATTACCTATTTATTATTATGCGAACATATCATGTGATTAGAAAAAATACAAAATGCAATTCAAAAGTTAATAAATAATATGAATTTTCTTTTTGTAATACTTGTTTATTATGCATAAAAGTTCATTTTTGTCACGTCTGTAGTTTTTCTTTGGACATTTTGCATGTATTTATATAAATTAAATTTTATTATAGCTCGGATTTTTACGTTGGCAATTACACGGTGACAGGACTGGATAGCGACGTTAATTTATGTTTTATTTAAAAGGGACAGCTAAACGTCACTCCCTTGACTTCTTGAATTCTTTTAAGAGAAGCCATTTATTAAAGAAAGAAGAAAAGGGACAGCTATACTATAGAGAGTTGGTTGAAGTAAATCATTCAATTCATTCATTATCATTGGTTATATAGTGATTAGCTAATTTTTCTTGAACAAACCTTCCAGAAACCCAAGGCAGTTTAACAAGAGATTAACAGCTGATCATTTTTGACATAGTGTTATTTGATTGCTGCTTTGATTGGCCTTTCGGAAACTGGGCAAAGACTAGTGATTATGGTACTCACATTCATTATCTAATGCAGATCTATCTACAAACTAAAAGCAAACTAGGTAACAGTTTCTAACAGACTCTTGGATAAAAAAACTCTAGATGGTACTCTAGTGTCCGTTACCCAGCAGTCTGTAAAAGTAAAAAAGTTCTTGCTTGTTTAAGAACAAAGTATCACGCGACCCCAGTGCAGATTGGCATTCAGATCTCCGAAATATTTGTTTTTTTTAATTTTGCAGTTCCCTTGACTTTTTGCCTCAACGGTTCCAATTCCCGTGCTCACCGTTGAAGGAAAACATTAGGAAAACGTTCGCTTTCAATTCAATATACTTACACCGTATGCGTACCAAATCTGTAGATTTCTTATTCATACACAAATAGGAAATCTAGATATTTGTCAGGAGCTTACCTATGAATAATGTTGTGCTAATGAAAGTCTCTAATGAAATTGTAAAGTATAGAATTGAAGACATAGATATTTGAAAGAAGTTCGAAACACCAATGTGAGTAACAGTGAGGGTAAAAGGCGGTTTCACATTTTTTTCGATAATTATAATCCGAAATTTTTCACTTTATTTATTTTACCAAAACTACAACACAATTACAATAATTTCTTACGTAATAAATTTACAAAGAAAATGCCAATTACACATTGTTTCAAGATTATGGTAACCTTAAACTAACAAATAGTAACAAATTTTGCTAATTCTAATCCTACCGATCATTTTAAACCAAGCGCCAAATAAAACACGTAGAACTCACTTATACGGCGGCAAAAACTTCGGCCCAAAAAGCAAAATCTTATACGCAAATGTTTTCAACTCGAATGCACAAAGTTAAATAAAAATGATGTTCCACCTGCACACGTGAATGGTTGTTAGTCGTTGTGGTGTTGCTTTTGTAGTTCGATTCAACATTACAATGGGAAATGGTGGATTTTTATATATATATACGGTTAATAAAATCCTTGCGCCGGGAGGAGGAACTTAAATAAGGACACGATTTATTTTAATTATTTTTATTACGTTAAGAAACCTAATTTTGACAGTTTTCCGTTTACTATGTTTAAAATAGAATCATACCATATTGATTTATTGTAATCTTTAAAATTCAGTTCCCAAAAACATGCAGAAAGATAATTATCATATTCATTTAGTAATATTGAGGTAGTTATTAGTTTCAGAACTTATACCAATTAAAAAAATGGTTCTAGAGATAACAGTAAATTCAAAGAACAAAAAATGTTGGTGGATTATATAAAAAAAAACATACAGAGTGAACAGTTACAGAAGAAAAAAAAAACAATCTAAATGTATACTGGACCTTAACACGTTTACTAGAGAAGCAACAATAACAGCCCCTCGGTAAAGAAATAATATGAGCGCACGATGCGCCCCCGACAACACGACGGGTCTCTCTATGATTCCCCTCCAACGATCGGACTGCGAAAGATGCCAAGACGAATTCTCGACGACTACACAAAAACCTATCTTTGATACAATTCGAAAAAAGTCATCCATGACACATATATATTTATATATATAGCATAAGATATAATTTTTTAAATAAAATCCATATTGTCCAAACGAAATCGATTAATGAAATCAGACGATCGATCCTCACACGCCAAATACACGAGTAGTCGATACACACATGAGAAATCATTAACGCAAACAATAGAACCATTTAAGAAAAACATTATTCCTATTTAAGAGAATGTCGCGGCATGTACGCAAAAAGGGGCGCGGGGGCGAGCGGCGGGGGGGGGGGGGGGGGGGGTGTAGTTCAGTCTCGAGCCGCGCGCCTCCAGCGCCCCCTCAACTTAACGCTACTACTCTTCACAACGATACAATAATCAATTAAAAACTATATCAGCATTCTAACACGATACAAAATCATAGTAGGTACATCGATACTTTCTCGCTCTCACAACTGGAAGGAATCAACGACACGCCTCATATGTACACTCCTCCTGTCGCAGAGAATGTGGCCGCTCACGCGCTCCGCTGGAGGCCGACGCGGGCGGGGCATTTCGCAAACTGTCTGTGTGTTTGTTCATATGCAACTAAGTCAGTGCGCGACGCGCCGTAACGGCACTGCGACGAAAAATGTGTGCGTCTCAGTGCCGCCGCGACGCAATACCAGATTTTCTGCTGTCGAAATTGCCTGTAGACGCAATTTACAGCACAAAACGATCGCGTTACGGGCCAGTGCCACCTCGGGCCGGCAAACGTGCTTATACCGTAGTGCCCGCACCCTGGGAGACAACCCGCGGGGGTGGGTGGGGATATTTTGGAGGCATGAGGGGTGAGGGGAGGGGGAGTAAACGTCATTCAAGCATGGAATGTAACGACATATTAGGAATCGAGGAACCGCTACGCTCCGTAAAGGGTAAGCCGATGGAGGGAAAATTAGCCGCTATCTTTGCCACAGTCGCTCACGTCACTAAAATCACGCAACGCCCCAGAACAGCACACAACATAGGCGGCGTGCGCTGCGATGAGGTGAAAGTTGACGAGGGCGGTATGAACAACAAACTACGCGAACAGTCATAGTGTGTATTGACGCCCGACCGGTTGTTTAAAACTTAGGGGGTGGATAGAGGGTATAATGATGACATCCTAGCGACCGCTGCGACAACGTGGAGTCTTCACAGAGTTGGATGCCCGTCGCGCATACGAGCGTCCAGAGCGAAATAACCGGACATGGGAGGGGTCGGTCGGTGCCAGTGTTACGAGCCAGAGTGATCAAATTCTTTACAATGCCAACGCGATATGATAAATCTCCAATAATATGGGAAAGCGACACTGCCAAAGATCGAGTTTAGGGACCGCTTCGTATATCAAGTGAACCTGGACAAGTGCACGGTCAGTACAGTCGGATTAAGTCGATATACCGAGAGATATTTACAATTAATTCAACAATATGTGGAAGTACTACACTAGTGCAAATTAAAATAAAAAAGAAACTGACATTGGCGCCAAGCTAAGCAAATCAGACAAAGTCCGAAGAGCACAACGAAACAGATGCAGCACGCGCAACATTCAATGCCATAACAGTGTCCATCTCAAGACATGCCGATTTCAAGTAGATCGAGGGGGAATCTTCGGAATTCGATCTTCAAAATTAATGATGAGATTTTAGCGGTGACAAATACGATGGTACCCAGGACAATGGGCAATGAAATGAAAATTATTTTAATGCACCTGGGATGTGTCTGCATAAGATTGTTGTAATAGTGAATGTGTCTCTACAAAACGCCCGAGACGCAGGAGAGGCGCGCTTGGGGACCTGCAATGTGCACCCAAGCCCCGCAGTTCGGTGGATAACATATCACACATCAATGACATTTGTTGAAGGAGTGACGGTAGAGACACTGGAGCGGCTCGGGCGTTTTTAACGCGGTGTAAACATTACACCACTAGCTAACCTTAAAATTTTTAAGAAAACAACTGAGACAGTGCCGAAGTACTCGGCGACATTAATGCCAAACTTCCATATATCATATCACATCACAATTATAAATATAAATATCTAGGGTTTTCTCAATTTCGACACCGTTCACTTAATCTTAATCCCTCTTAGTTAAATATCTCACTTGGCACAATCGTAACACAAAACGTACACTCGATAGTCGATACAAGGCGGCGGCGCGACGGACGCTCAATCGGTGTGCACAGAGTCCGTCGCGTCGCACGAGACAACGTCATGAAGCTAACGAAGGTAAAATTACAAAAAAAAAATTAAAAAAAAAATCGATCAACGACCGTCCGCTTACAGGTAACAAAACTAGTACCTTTAGATCTCGGGGATCTCGCCGTCCGATCACTGTTTTAAAAACTAAACATAACGAATACGGCTTGTGTGCCTCACTCACTGGTGGTGGTAGTGACTGTGGTGAAGTAGAAACGCGAATGTCCGAGGATGGTTCGGTCGATGGCTGCTGCCTGGGGCGACTACCTCAACCCGAAACCATTCGGACGTGTGTGGCGTAAGTCAATCAAAATGTCCATAACAAGAAACGTGCATCATGTTATCATCATTACTCTTGGATCATTCAACTGGTGGTGCTGCGTGGCGCTTACGCACCCATCGCTGTCGACACGCGTGTAAACTATATAATATGAGAACGGGGTATGCAGAGAAAATTAAACAATCTACTATCGCTCTACCATTACACTTCCGCGATGCAGCCGAGTGACCTGGCACGAAAACGACATAACAATGAATATATTTACGGCACAAATTTATATACCGGCACTATAGTTAAAGAAAAAATAGTGTATATGAATAATATATAGCAGTATACATATATATTATATTTCAATTGTCAACATACTATAGGTAATCCGGGATAAAATATGGATATACATCAATATTTTAATTACATTTCGCTACATTTATATAATTTAGGTAAACAACAACATTTAAGTTAAGTAAAGTCATCGCCGATTGGGGCGACACACGATGCGAAGTGATGCGGTGCGATGCGATGCGATGCGATGCGATGCGATGCGATGCGGTGCGGCCGCCGGGGATGTTTGGGTGGTGTGGTGTGGTGTGGTGTGGTGGTAGTGGTGGTGAGGCGAATAGGAAGGAGAGCGTGAGGGCACGTGGTTCGAGCAGGGCAGCGATGGTGGTAGAGACAGGTTGTGTGATGATGATAGGTGTTGGTGGTGGTGGTGATGATGGTGGTTGCGGCGGCGGCGGCGGCGTGTCGGTGGCGGCCTACTGCGGCTGCTGCTGCTGTTGCTGCTGCTGCTGCTGCTGCGGCGCCGGCGGCGGCTGGACGGCCCTGCGGTGGCGGCCCGGCGCCGACGCCTGGGCAACCATGTCGCGAATGCGGCGCTGCGCCGACTGAAACAAACAAACCGTGCACGCGTTAGTCACACTAGCACGCAACATTCTTTACATTTGGTAGTATGAAAACAGTATCACTGACCCATCAGTCCAATGTATTTATTAATAAATAAGAGGAAGGACCACATGTTACGTCAAATGTTCAAAAGGAATGTAATATCGTCGTTATGATAAATTTGGAATACAGAAAGAATATCGCATCGCAATTTCGCAAAGTTCTAAAAGATATAATATCTAACATGGTTGCATCCAAACTCTGACGCCAATCCTGCGAAATCTCATTCATACACTTTCGAACACGGTCAGCACAACAACACAACACAACTCACGACAACCTGCCCTTTTCACATGTAGTTACAAATGTCTATAATAACAAAATCAATGAGACACAGGCAACAGCACAAAATCAAAGACAGCCAATTATGAATTTTTTTTTATTGCAAACAATATTTAAATTAAACAACAAATTCGCCTCGAGTTGGATATTTATAAAGTATGAGAGACTCACCCGTCGTGCAGCATCAAATGCAAAAACAGAGCCGACACGGCCGTTTCTCAAAGGCATTCCATTCTTTCGATCACAAATTCTGGAGCGAACCAGAGGGCGAGGGGGGGTTGGGACACCATCCTCATCCCGCTTCGGGCGACTGCTACAAAATTTAAAAACTTATTATGCCACACTGTGTCGCCATCCGGGGGGTTAACACGTCGTCAATTAGCAAGCTTGTTCGCTCAGCGCCAGCAACATCTATAAAGAGCAAGTACTTATCTTATCCGTAGGACTGTCGAAGCTTCAACAGCGCACGCATCGCCCGCTAACGTCACTAGTCTCACGATATTAGGTTGTAACTACATGTGCACAAATTACCGTAACAATCATTCCCCGTTCTCCCACACATCCAACTAAACGCACAGACAAATCACAATCCACATATTCATCTTATGAATACAATATCTTCCAATATATCATACATCGAATTTTTTCGCATCGCAAAGCAAGAAGAAGCACTGCAGCCTTACTAATTCGTAATTAGTGTTAAATTATTAAGAATTTGGTTAGTTAAATTGCATAACATAATTATATTTTGTTTTCTTATTTATTCTAACATTGTAACAGGCATTGCTGCACTTATATTGATTGTGTTATGACATTTAAAAATCGTAAATTATTAGTCATATAGCCACAATGAAACCTTTACTCTCCTTTTTATAGCCCCATGCGTCACTTACATCAGCTGATGATGCACGCGATCGCCCACTACTACAGGACCGGCCGTAAGCTGTGCGCGCCACAAAACACACATGTGTATGTATGACCTTTGTATGCCAGCTCGTTCGACCGCCGCACTAGGGCTCCCGAGTCACACACACCCCCGAAGTTGGCCCCGCGGTCAGTACGGAGTCGTGTTCGTCAACCGTGAAGGGGGGCGGGGGTTTGGTCGCCGCTACGGCCACGGCCACAGCACCGTTAATCCCGGTACGGTAGTCGACACGTGTTGCGTACGCACCTGCACGCTGTAGAAGGGCCCGACGATGTGCACCGTGGTCTCATGGTCGGGCTGCGCGCCGGCGGGCGGCGGCTGCTCGGGCAGCTTGATCAGCGAGCCGGTGACGCGCTGCAGCTCGCGCACGTTCTGTCCGCCCTTGCCGATGATGCGGCCCACCTGCGACGAAGCGACCACGATCTCCACGGTGAGCCGCACGTCGTCAGACCCCGACATGAAGCCCTCCTCGCGCATCTTCTCGAAGATCAAGTACTGCGCCTATGTGAGGGGGGACACAATTAAAATATGCATTAGACCAATTTTTATTACGTACAATCTTTTAATGAAAATAATATTTTATATATTAATCGTTTTATGTAAGTTTTTACCAAAATAAATACTGGGGATTGATTTACTTTATTAAAAAATTATACTATGCCCAGTCACTAGCAGCTTTAACACTGCGTATAGCTGTATACAAGACGCAGTATAATAAAATTGCAAATTATATGAAGGAAGATAAGTAATAAGTAGGGCAGTTATGTAAATGGAGGATGCATACCTTCCACTGGGCCTCAGGGCTACCAACTATGGTAACCTTCCGCTCGGGTTGAGCGCCGGCAGCAGCCTCTCCTTGCTTCTCCTGCTCCAGAGGAGCAATCTTCACAGAAGCATTGCTGAAGCGAATGATGTTGCGGATATGCGAGCCCTTAGTGCCGATGATTGCCCCCACTGCGTTGTTCGGGATGTACAGGTACGTAGTCTCCTGCGAACCGACAGCCGTTTCATTCTAAAATAATATGAAATGAGAATGAATACAAGATTATACGAATATTAATTATGTAACAAGCAAGATAAGTTTTAATACAAGAAAAAAAATGTGCTGGGATTGCAAGTCACGTATTTCTTAAACGGAATTGACTTTATAAAAAATAAACCAAAAAAAAATCTATACATATCGTCGTTGTGAAAGAAAAACTTGACTCTTGAAAAACTAATAATAAACCATAACTAATATCATATTTGATTAATAAATTTAATATTAAAGAATATAATTCAAAAATGCAAAATATCACACATTAATGACTACGATAAGTGGTGTTGGATAAACTTATAGCTACAGGTTTTGTCGAAAATTCCTAAAGCAACAGTCAACAAATAATCGCCCAATGGCTTTATTTGACAGCAGAGACGTAAACAAGCGTCTCTTCTAGTAAATAATGCCTAATGTCTGTTTGTAAACGAGCAGAACATATAGGTACCGAAAAACCAAACTTTTCCTTCGCAACGACGATGCGCTACTTTTAATCGCACACCGATTGCCTTAATCAATCAATAGGAGCCTTGTACGAATACTGTACGGTGTGTTCGTTGTGGCGTTTGCAAGGGGGAGATTCTAAGCCAATGTTCAACAGTGGAAGCCTTGGAGCTGATGATGGTGGTAGTGATGATGATGATGGTGATGGTGGTGGTGGTGGTTCGTTTGTCGTTTTACCTGAGAGTCGCCAGCGCCTTGTTGTGCGCCGCCGCGGCCGGCCAGCGGCGCGTAGATCGGCGGCGGGTACGGCGGCGGCGCGTTGCAGAATCCGCGCCCCGTAGACATCATCGCCATCGGGTGCAGCCCCGGAAACATGATGCTCTGCGGCGCCAGCACCTTACCAAGAAACAGCAAGCCCGGTCAGACAACAGACGGATCAAGTCGCAGCGCTGCACGAATAGATATTGTCATTTCAATTGAGAATGGAACCGAAAAGAAAACAACGTGGGAGCTAAAAACTAGCAGAGTGACTTTGGAAAACCCCGCGTCATTCAACAGCACTGAGTGCAAATTTTGGGTCAATTTATCTTAACAACATCTCTTCTAATCAACCAACAACTTTAGCTTAAATTATTAATTAATAATAAAATAAAAAAAATTAACGCAAGGCCCTAAATCACTCCTTAGTTAGTTAGATAAGTAGTACAAAACGATGCTACTCTACAAATTAAAGCTTTATCGGATCGATAGTATAATCGTGAAGACACAACGCAATCAGTTCACACAACTATCTAAAACTAAATTAACATAATTGTTCGTTTTTAACTATTCCTAATTTTAACTTACAGTTAAGGTTTTATAAAATACCATATTCAAATTTATAAGCAATATTAATTCGTCTCTAATACTACTACGTGTACGATATCGATATCGATACGTGTGTGATATCTACGAGTACACGTAGATTTGATTATACAGTCAGGAACCTTATCATAAAAATATTCTGTTCTGAACCAATGAACAGCTGTCATAACAATAGCATTACATGAAAGTGGACTCTTCCGTCCTTGAGACGGTTGTCACGTTCTGGCCCATTCTTTAAAAGAGAGTTGGTCTTGTCATTTGGGTAATTTTGTTTTCTTCGTAACTATCAAGGAGGTGGTAGCCTATAAACAACGTCTGACAAGGTTTGTTACCACAATAGGTTCTGACGGTATTTCTGGTACATTACTACCCATTTTTATAATTTTTAAGACAATTGTTAGATAAAACTTACGGATTTTATAATATTAATTACAAATTCAAATTTAATTCAATTTCAAATTTCCGATTAAACAGCTATTTCGAACCCTGAACAACATAATATAATCCGTAAAATAATTTCATTTAACAATGTAAAATATTCGCATAAAACAAAACAGTATATTTTAGGATAACTTATGATTTGCTTACTAAATTTATCACATTTGATCTCCGTTTTAGTCCGATGGCAACATATTTTATGATTAACAAGGTATACTGGTAGAAGAAATGAAGTAGGCCCAGGGTACGCAAACACAATTGTTATACAATTGTTACACATAGGTTACTTTTAACCATTTACTTTTTTGAATGGTTTTTTGTAATAATAACATTAAAGTACAAGAGAATATCTATATGCAGCGGTGACCACCAATCATCAGGTATACTACTAGTTACTTATCATAGAACAAATTACTCATAAGCACAAACCTGCAGATCGTTTTCATAGCTTTGGCGCAGTTTAGCTGATATTTGTGACTCTGCTTTGGCCATGTTTTCTATAGTTCCCTTAACGGTGATGATCCGTTCCAAATTGAAGCTATTGATGTCGTTGATAGAAGAAACTGTAATCTTGGTATCAGTCTCCTGCATGATTCTCTTGATGGTGTTCCCACCTTTTCCGATTATACGGCCAATCAGATTGTTATGCGCGAGGATTTTCAGGCAAATCTCGCTGAAAAACAACAATTTTACATATGAAACAACAGTGTTGCAAACAAACTAAACATCACCGTCGTGAGCGGTTCGCACGGGTAGGGAGGAAGGGGGGGAGGGAGGGAGGGAGGGAGGGAAACGCACCCCTTGTTGGTATTGTTCGCCTCCTGCTGCATGACCTCGAGTATGCGCTTGCAAGCGTTGGTGCAGTTCTCCGGGTTGCCGTATATGGTGATCGCCTTCTCCAAGGAGCCGACGTTGTCCTTGCGGTGGACGTCGACGCGGGCGCGCGACTGCTGCGTGATCAGGCGGATGGTGCTGCCCTGGCGGCCGATGATCGCGCCGACCATGTCGCTCTGGACGAGCAGCCGCAGCGGGAAGTCGGTGGGGCGCGCGCCGCCGCCGGCCGCGCCGCCGCCGCCGCGCCCGCCGCCCGGCCGCCCGCGACGCCCGCCGCGGGCGCTCTGCTCCACAGCCTCCACCTTCATCCGGTTGCCCTCCAACTCATAGCCGTTCAGCCCGTTTATGGCTCTGCAACAACGCCATCTCTTTATAAACGCTCACCACACCTTCAATCACGTTCCATTTTCCCCCTTCAACGAGAAGCTCAACTGCATACACACAACGCATCCACACAAGAGTTACAACACGTTTCATGTCTTTATTTAGAAAACTTTGCAGAATACTATGAAATTTTACCATGTACTTCCTCTGCCATGCCAAAAATATCAGTATAAAACAAGGATAGCAAAGACTGCAGAACAGCTTTAGCATAGTGAAAGAAAGCCTTAAAGCGTCACACAAGTAAAACATGCATAAATTCTCCGGAATTGAAGAAGTAAAGGTTGTATAAGGTTGCATAAGTACTAGACAAGATTTTAGAGAACGCAGTGATCCCGAGCAGCGACAAAGCAGTCTATACTCACTGCTGCGCTTGCTCCGGAGTCTCGAAAGTGATGAACACCGCTTGGGTGTTGGGTTCCCGCGCATGAGCTTTGTCGCAATGTTGCACGTTGCCATACTGGGCGAGTAGGGGCTCGATGTTGTCGAAACGAGCATGCAGGGGGAGTCCACTGATGAGTACCTTTGACGATCGGCTGCGAGAAGCGATACAACCACTTAGACAAATATAATAGGCAAACCATCAAAGAGTACAAGAAACAATGTTGGGAAAGAATCGTGTCGAAATACTGAACATTACTAAAACCGTAGCAAATCTATATCTATACATACAAGTAATACGCGCGAGACGTGTACGAATTATGTTGTAGTCGCAACAGCGGCAGCGTACGGGCGGCGGCGGGTGGTTCATTGCGGGGGAGAGGCGAAGGCATACCGCGCACCACAAAATGGCGGAGCGCCGGCTGGAGGTGACATCATCGCGCTAGTCGTCACTACGGACTCCCCCGTGCCCCACCGTCGCGCGCCATTCACAACTCCGCTACGGTTCCGATGCACTCCTCCCCTGCCCCCGCGACCCGCTCGCCGCCCGTCCACCGCCCGCGTGACCCCTCGAAGTGCATTTACCTACTTCGAATGTGACTTCTGTGAGGCGTTGCATGACAGTCGGTAAAGTATATAATAAGAATGACGATGAGCGACAAATATAACATTCCAACCAGTTTAATGCAACAACTAACAAACCATAAAATATTTGTATACAGTTACAAAAATATTTCTAGTCTTCTGTGATTATCAAAAAACTTTGTTATACGGGTAATAATAGTTCTGTCATAATAAAAACTTGAATTTTGAATTTAAATGTTCAATGGAAATAAAAAAGTGAACTATTTTACTTATTTTTAAATATCGAGTAGACGCTTATAGTTTCAGCTATCGCGTTGCATCGGTGCGTTTTCGCGCCAAATCAGGTTAGCGAAAAGTACAAAAAAAATTTATATTACCTACTAAAGATTCGTTTATCACCATACGATCAAGCGTTAAACGCTTAACATTATGATCCAAGAAGATCCAAACCAAAGTAGTTGCGGGTAATAATATCGTTCTTGAACATCACAGTTTGGGCTGCTAAATACGACTGACCGCGCAGATTGAAAGTTTTGTAAATATATTCATAATCGAGGGTAATTTTGATTTTTGAATAAGCTTAGTAGTTCTATGTTTTAGAAGTTCCTTTTGGTATATAGATGGTTACTGTGAAAACAATGGTATCGTTTGATTCACAACAAACATATTGTGACAGACCCTTTGACTTTCAACTGTGCCTGAAGGAGTGGGTTCGATTCCCACTACTGGAAAAATATTGTAAATAGTTAAGTGTCTTTCCAGTGTCTGGGTGCATCTATAATATTATGTATTTATAAACAAATCGAAAAGTATGTTTAGGTATGTTTATTAGGTACCTAGGTACCTAATACCTAATAAACATACCTAAATAACTGAACAATTCGATCACAAACAAATTAGTCATCACAATGTCAGTATCATCACATATAATATAGGTATAGGTAGATATCGGTAAAATAAATGAGCTCGTATGGTTTATCAGCTTGTCACCAGTCACAATTCGACACAAAACATTGAGAATTTATAGAACATTAAAAAAATATGTTTAAAAATTAAACATGCAAAACATTTTTGCCCGAATTCCAAATATGTACGTTATATTCTGCCAAATACCCTAAATAAAATATTATTTTATATAATTTTTTTAATTGCGTTACATTTTTCGAAAATATTAATTTAATTTTTAATTATGTATATTTTCTTATTAGTCATTAAAATGCGAGTATAATCTTATCGAGTTATCGAGCAGAAAGACCAATTTTTCAACATTTTTAGGCATTACTTTGTTACTTCTTTTCTTTCCACACGACACCAATTTTTGTGTTCCAAGCACGTCCATAGAGGTGGTATGTATAGAGGCCATAATCGATTATTATTACAAAGACTGCAATTTTACTTATAGTAAGTACGCTTTGTTTACTAACTAAATTAGAAACATGCCGCGCAACGCAGAAAGGAGCTAATATTTAAACATACTGAAAGAATTAGTCGGCTAATATTTGGTTAGTCGGACATGAAGCAAGTTGCAAGTCTAAATAGTATTGTTAGATTAAACCTACTTCATGTTCATGTGCTATGTGAAGTATCAAATGATGTTCGACAAAAGGTCGAACAGTAAATATGTAATAGCGACTAGGATTTAAATTTTTTTCTTATAGTTTGGGGACGAAGAATATCATTTGAATAACCATTCTGAATTTGAAAGTGAAGAGGAAATGGAAGAAAATAGTTTCAATGGTGAGTCTGTTTCTTACAGTCTAATATGAGAAAAGCTATCTAGCAGGTTATCTTCGTCATGATTAGTAAGATGGAATCCCACTAAGGCCTATAACATTCGTACAATAAATGAAAATTTCACGATCAAAAAATTAAACTATAGTACGGGAATCAAACGGATCCCATCGCATTATTCTTCAACACTTCTTTTGTTCCTTTTTGAACCACGCAGACATAGATGCCATAATTATATAGATGTTGAATATTATTAGTGGAAAATGTTGAACAAATCGTATACAAAACTTTATTAGAAATTTGGGAAAGGTTACGATATGCGAATATGTGAGAGGGCTAAATATTAAAGCAAGGATTAGGATAGATTTTCGTAATCACTTACAGGAATTGCTTTGTAAAAAACAGCCCCGGAACCGCTACCAAAAATGCCAAGACCCAAACTAGATTTTTAGAACGTAATCATCTCCAGCCAAATATACAGATAGATAGAATATTGAAACAGACCGTCCTTGTGGAACAACCTCTTACCTAACGATTTGTCATGGAATTGTCAGTACTAGTTCAATCAATATTTTCCTTTATCGATTACGTCGCAACCGTTAATTCACATGCACCTGTAGGTCACATACATACAACTACACTGAATAAAGAAAATAATGCGATGAATGCTCGAATACGAAACCTAAATTTACTACTTAACGAATAAGCATACCTGGTTACTTATAGAGTAACAATAATAGTTCATATTAGTAAATGCAATTTCAAGTGTATTTTCCAGTAATGTAGAAGGAAAAATTTATAAAATATTTGCATTAATTTATGTTTATTAATATATCTTTTTTTTGTAAAATCGGTATTGGGGATATTATGAAATCAAATGATTTGTATAGCAAAACATTCCGAATTTATTTGCTAATCTGATTATTTTGAAATATTGTTTTATATGTAAATCTAATTTGTTTTACAGAAATATTTCTCCGTAAGGAAATATTTTTAAAAAATTACTAACTGTCATCATTTACCCGTCATTCGATATTTCCGCAAAATATTGCCGAACTACGACTTGCAGAGCGTGCCACATCGACGGTAGCCCATTACGAGACCAATGCTAGCACGATTGTTACCGTATTATGTGCATGAAACGATCCAGTCAAATTCCGAGACAATACCCTGGTAAACTTCTATTTCCTGCGATACCAAAATTTGTTTACAGTCATGCAAGATTACATGGATATGTTTGAAAATAATTAACTTTATGTTCAAAAATAAAGAAAAAAAGTTTTCATTACACGAATGTAATTTCAAATTGAATGTCTCCATTTCATCAATACTCTGCATCATTGTCTAAAGTGACGACAGAAGGAAGAGATTAGCGCTATAAAAAATTTAAATGACGACAACCTCTGTCGTAAAAGGGAACTGATGATTTATTTGTTTAGGATTTCTTTTAGAGCTTGAAGATTGCCGAACTTTTCCCGTATTTTTAAATAGTTAATATGGGCAGGCCCGTCCGGGTAAGTACCACGACCTCACAGAAGACATAGTAAAGTGAGAAAGTACAACAAATACTTTCGCGTTTCGTCTGGTGAGTGAGGTAGCCGGAGCCCAATTTTCAAAAGGTTGTCAACGCATCTGTAAACCCTCGGGTGTAGCAGATGTCCATGGGCGGCGGTATTCATTTACCATCAGGTGAACCGTCTGTTCGTTTGGCAACTTTTTGCATAAAAAAAAGATAGGATCTATTAAGAATGAAGAACGGACCTATAGGCAGCTCGATCGCATTGACTGACATCTAAGACGATAGTTTGCCAATAACTACCTACACAAGAAAGAAAAATAAAAACCCTACCACCAAGTGATAGTAGATCTGTATTCATTATAGAACTATTACACATATTATTGTCAAAAATATCGACAGTACTGTAATGTTTTACGACGCGTGCATACCGACAGTCAAATTGCGACATGAAGAAGGCGACAAACTATGGCAATCACCATGGCAACCATAAAATTTTTGACATTTACCTAAAATTCCAAGTTATTTCATACAATTCCATAATAAAACTTAGCAATTACATTATAATGTATTTCCATAGAGTACTCAAAAAATATTTAAATAATTTATTCATCGACAAACAAATTTCATCTATCGATATGTAGTCAATGTTTTTTTTTTAAATCCACTGTTTCGTAATGAGTTTCTTCTAATGGGCGAAAGAAACTCTTTTTTATCATTTTTTCCCCTGGAAGCGATCAACACATTCCTAACGGTTTCTGTAAATGTATTAATATAATGTACCATTTACAAATAGGGTTATTATAATATACATTTACTCAATTAACAATAAAATTACAAAAAAAAAATTATACAAATTTGATAATGAGACACTTTTTTGCTCATGATAGTATATTGTGATGGGATTCTGAAAACTGTAGAACTCGGGTTATAAATGGGGCGAAAAACTGGCCAACGTTTGTACAACCCATATGCGTTAAAATAAACACGTACATTTATCAGTTGAAATAAAGACTTTAATTAAAGTTATTTATATATCGGTTAAAATAAACGCAGTTCAATTATGGTTAAGAGGTGCAATAAACACGTCTTAGTCGGTCACATTGGCGTATAGACTTATCAGTGTTTTTAAATTATGGTTGTTTTGTGTACAACCGTTGTGGTTACTACTATATACCGACTGTAGCCTTACTACAAATAATATAAATAATACAACTGCAATGAACTGGATATATGTGACGAGCAGTAGATAGCTGTTCGGTCCGTACGTACAAAGTCTCGATTCCTGTTTAGATAAGTTGTGGCGGTGCAGTGTTATTTCGTCGCTATTTGCTCGGCGCCGAGAACAGTTATCAGCGCGGGTAGTAAGCGCGACGCGGTGACTCACGGGCTCCGAGCCGCGCCACAGCCGGCGCCGCCATTTTATTTTACGCACCACGTGTTCGTGTTCAAGAAAATTAACTGGTCGACAGAAACAATGCCACCATTGGTGATTGGATGCAACGATTACCAGACAACGCCACGGGCAAATTGCAATTGTCTACCAGTATCCGTAGACACTTGTTCTTAAATGGAAGACTGTCGTGTGATAACAAAGCCGTAGCTATCCCTAGCGATACTTGTTATGTTGGTGCGGAGCCTACCTGCGGTATTTCGCCATTCTATCCAACGGTGGGCAGTTAGGAAGCGCCGCTTTTTCAAGGAAACCGAATCACAGAGGCTGAGGGCCGGTGCCTGTGGGGGATGGGATACTGGTAGGATAGGAATCGATGGTCAACTTGTGTCGCCGCCGCTGCCACTCGAAAACATGAAACGCGGGCTGATCGCGTGGTCGGCGGTGTCACAGTACAAGCCGATGATATAGTAAACGGAAGCGCGGTCGCAGTGCAATGCAGGCTGCGAACTGCGGGCGACCGGAATGTAACGCCAGCGCGAGCGTCGCCGTGTGACTGACTGAGGAGCGGCGGCAGCGGCCCCGGTCACGCCGCGCCCGCGCCGCCCTCCCGCGCGCTTTGATAAAAACTAACAATCCATTCACCCCGCTCGTTGCCGTTAATTACACTTCGCGGCAACTCTCAAGGATTGAAGTAGCCTCATCGCCCGTGCACAGGACTAGTGCACTTGCAAAACGCATCATTTATTTACCATTTGACAACTGCTTATCGAAGGTAGTATATAAATATACATATAGATCTACATTCGGAGCTACAATTATTTGGCGTTACAATTATTAACGAACATGTATATGCCTAAACAATTATGTGATAATGCCTATGATATTCATATAACAACGTATGAAATCAACAAGTCGTAATTATTGAATAAGCAATAAAGAAATAAAAAAAGTGTGTATGTTCTTATGTACACGCGTTTAAGTTATACTTCTTTGGCGTAAGACAAAAATCTTTTCAAACATTATTTTTCCCTAACGCGCCAAAATAAGTATAACTTCAATAAATATATTATTATTGAGCATTGCGGATGCGGTTTGAATGGCTTTAAATAAAAACTATTGTCATGCTATACCAAAGTTAATTTACTACAAATTACAGTACTAAGGTTAAAAAAAGCTGGGCCACCGGTGAAAAAACCATAGAAAACTACTATAACTTGTTTGAAATATAAAATGAATATATGACACGTGTTTTGATATATACCACTCGTTAAAGAATTAAAAGGGAAACAATTTTCATATTACGTTGAGAACTACACGGACGTATATAATTAATAATAAGTATATGTCTCATAACTTCAACGAAGACGACCTACACTAGTTAAAGGAATTTATAACCCCGATCAAAAATAATTTTACATTCGATCAAATCATAATAACTATTATCGTTTACATGTGCTAAAAAAAGGTGTTCGTATAGTAAATAAGTAAATAAGAATTTATTCTCTATGTATTCAGTAAAATAATACTAACTTATGCATTTGCGGGGAGCTAAGTCACCTGTCTGGCCACATGCTACCTCGTCCCTCACACATTACGCTATTTAATTCAACATAAGAGAATGGTAGCTTAGTAACAATGGATATTAAACTTTTTGAGACAAACTGACAACTATTTATTTTTCATTTTGCGTTTAAAAAGGCGATTAGTGGAAATGTAGTATTTATTAGGAGTACAAATAAGTTTCCGCCGTTTTATTGTAGATGGTGCGGCACGGAGTTTCGGTTAGCTTTCGCAGATGATAACCGGCTTAAAAAACTCAGCGGCAACTTCACTCAGCAAGCAGTCTCACATCGTTTAAAATCATTAGGAATGATTCATAAACAAGGAAATTGGGTTCCGTACGAATTAAAGCCGAGAGATATTGAACGCCGATTATATGCTTAAGTGAAATGCTGCTAGCTAGACATAAAAAAAGGGTTTTTTACATCGTATCATAACTGGTGATGAGAAGTGGATACATTATGACAATCCAAAAAGAAGAAAATCATGGGGATTACCTGGCCACGCGTCACCATCAACAGCAAAACCGAATATTCACGGAAAAAAAAACTTATGCTGTGTATTTGGTGGGATCAGCTAGGTGTAGTGTATTATGAGTTGCTTAATCCGACCGAAACAATTACTGGAGCCCTCTATCGAACACAATTGATGAGATTGAGCCGAGCTCTGAAGGCAAAACGCCTTCAATACTATTCTAGACACGAAAAAATTATTCTTCTGCATGACAATGCTCGTCCACATGTTGCGGCTCCCGTGAAAAAGTACTTGGAAACACTTGATTGGGAAGTGTTACCCCACCCGCCGTATTCACCAGACATTGCACCGTCCGATTATCACCTGTTCCGGTCCATGGCACATGCTCTGACGGCGCAGCGGTTCACATCTTATGAGGATACCAAAAATTGGGTTGATTCGTGGATAGCCTCAAAAGACAAGTTCTTCAGACGTGGGATTCGAATGCTGCCTGAGAGATGGAAAAAAGTGGTTGCAAGTGATGGGCATTATTTTGAATAAATTTATATTACCGTTCTTCTACAATAAATATTTAATTTGTGTTAAAAAACGGCGGAAACTTATTTGTACTCCTAATATATAAGCTTATGCCAAGTTACAGTGTCATGGAAAATTTAATCATAATAATGTTTTACAATGGGATGACGAATTTTTATCTATTGTTATTGCTGCTTATTGTACAAACAAGATAATATTTCCTCTCCAGAACGGTTCTGTGTACACGGTGCGAAATTTTGGCACTATCAGGAGCAATTGTCTACAGATAATCCGGAGGCGGCGATGGCACGCGCACGCGGCAGCCACCTGCCGGCAGGTGTGCTCTCTCCCCCAGACCACTATCTCCACTCCCATTTCATTGATTTCTTCGATATGCTTTAAAAGAAATCTTTTCTGATGCAGCTTTCTAAGTAGTTTAGTATACATAGCTAATTAAGTGGTTACATTGAATTGGAAAAAAAAAGCACATGGTAACAAACCAGCATTGTAACACCGTATAATAAACAAAACTTCTCAAACTTGAGGCCTTATTGTGTCGTTTTTTTAACCGACTTCAAAAAGAAGGATGTATCATTTCGGATGTTAGTTTTTTTTGTGTATGTTTGAGCATATACATTTACCGTCCGTCACATATACATTTATTGTATCTTCTTGTCGTGTATTGTGAGGAGAAATAAAATAAATTATTATTATATACAGACGGATTTCCAAAATTCTTTTTTTGTTCGAAAGGGTTACATTCCGAAATGGCCCCATATAAATTTAATATAGATCTGATGATGAATTTCAGAAATACACAACAGCAAATCAACCGCGACTGCTGCTATCGCATAAATATGCATTGTTTTGCACATAGCATCGTATTTACACAATTAATACGCTGTTTTCGCGTTCCTAGCTATCACGTGTGCTTTGTAAGCGACTACTTGTTTGACAATGGGATGGATAAATTCGAACTGCAACTACATCGTCATAATTTTCTATCACCAGTATTCCTTGACGGTCTCGCAAAGCAATTCAAGTTGACCAAATTGTTGTTGTCAATCTTTGTAAATAAACTTATACCCCAACGAGTGCGAATTATACTAAGACAATTGTAATTTTCTTTAATTTATACATTCTACTGTATATCTATGTAAAATCTTTCTTTAACAATATATTTTCGCGCTGGTCAGGCCTCTCATTTAAAATGTTTATAGGTTTTCTTCCTAATTTGCTTTAAAACGTTTTCCTTTTTTAGTCCCGGTGTCAGATTGACGCAGTTTTTTCATAAGAGCAGCGACTTTGCTAGATCTACCCATATTTTATTGTATTAAAATTAAATCATTAAAAATACTCAAAAAATTGTAAAATTCTGTTAGAGGTTAGGTAGGGCTACGTAGATTAGATTTGATTATATCTGTGCCTCCTGTGATCAGTGATACAAGTTAAAAATCAACATTTTACAGGAGAGCAAAAACAAGATTTAAAAAAATCTAGTTCATGAAGTGGATAGACTAGGACAAAACTTTGTACACATTCATATAGATTATAACATTCTCTTTCATCCTGTATTACAGTTTTGTTAAAAAATTATATAATTTATCAGTAACTCGAAAAAAAACATTTGAATTGTACCTCTGTAAAGTAAAATATTGGCAAAGAAGATGTGTTACATGATATGAGTAGTGTTAAACCATGTTGCACCTTATTATAGTCTTTGTGAAAAAGTCTTTCGTGAAAAACTGATATACGTGTAGTATAAAAACAAAAATAACTTATTAGAACCTCTTCCTATCATAATTGTTTAACCAAATAAAAAATAAATGAAACATCTAGATTCATTTTTTATTGTGTATATCCCCCTGTTGTGATAATTTCTTTAAATTGTATCAATTAGCTAAAATCCTCGTGATTTGAAACATGTGTTATATGATACAAGTCAAATTATACCTGACTTGAAAAATTATATTGATTGTGTAAATTAATACAACTATTCAAAAAATAATAAAAAACATATTGTACTTCTCCTAAATTAATTCTTATCTCATGATTAAATAAAAATTTATAAATTATATATCTAGGATCGGTCATAACAGATATCACAATAGGTACCTTTCAGTACTTACAGGATATTATGATCATTATCTTAATCCCAAATAGATTAATAAACATAGAGAAATTAACAAAAAATCACAACAAAATCAGAAAATACTTATAAAAATCAGTCTTCAGTGTTAATAACATATCTGTAGTTTTCGTAAATCATATTCTATAGAATAATCGATTATAAATCGACTATCTAATCTACTTAGAATCATTGTCATTGTCCGGAAGAGAGACTTTAACGTTTTTTTTTATGGAAAAAGGAGGCAAACGAGCATGCGGGTCACCTGAGCTGGTATTTCGGTGCCCCAGCCCAGAGGTGAGAACAGTATTCCATGTGCAGTCGAATCTGTGCTTTGTAAAGCTGCAAACGATGTGCCGGTAGGAAATACTGTCTCGCTCGGTTTAGGATACCGAGTTTTTTTAGAAGCCAGCTTGGCTATTAATTCCGAATGACCGCGATATTGAACGTCACCGGTCACTCTTACAGTTTAGATTTCTATGAAAGATCAATTTAGATCCTTCTTCTTTTCTGTTGAAATGGTAATCTTGGAATGGTGAGCTTTTGGTACCGTATAAATTCCTACCATATAGTACACTTTTCCGCGTTTCGATAAATTCATTCATATTTCCACCGTCTTTGAGCTCTTTTTTGTAAGAAATACAGGGAAAATTGCCTTAAAGATACATGACATACTCGATATGACATCAGACTACAGAAACTTTTTTAATGTCTGTAGTTGTTTTGGGAAGGTTATTGTTTAAAAAAATACCGAAGTAGTAAAACATATTCAGAGTCATTTCGATCACAGTAAACTTTGCAGATTTATTTGAAGCTGTGCAGACCAGTAGCTACCAATCTCTTGGCAGGTGAATATCTATGCCCGTGTGCTTCTTTTTATGCTCAATCAGCGCATGGTCACTGTCTGCTTCCATGTCAGTATGGCTAGGTACTAGAAATTTATGTTCGATGGATTGTATTTGATATTAGGTATTAACTTTTCTAAGTTTCTCGCATAAAGTCTGAAGATACGTAGTCAAAAGTCTTCAAAAAACATCCTTGCGAACATCCTTACAAATTGCGTGTCTTGTTATGATCAAACCCGTGAAAGAAGTATCGAAAAAATCTAGCGTTCCGTTTTTTCTTGGGATATTTGGACGTCTTTTTTTTTTGAAATTCCAAGACTCCAGTATGTTTTGAACAGTGTTCCTTAAATGAAACGGTAGTCTCTCTTTGCATTTCTTACGATAGTTGTTTAAGTCACGAGTTCTTCTTGTTTTTTCCTGATGTTGTTGTATATTTCGAGGCAGTGTTACAAAATAGTTTATTTATGTGAGAAGGTGGCACGCGAGCTGTAGGTCCACGTTATGTTAAGTGATAGCCACCGGTCATGGACATTTGAAACTCCTGTAGTGTTGCAGATACGTTGCAACCTTTTAATAAAGTGGGCTTAGTCAGTCATTTCACTCCCGCACATAACCGCCACACTCAGGTGAGTGTTTTAATTTGTATCATTTTACACTAAAGTTCGTAGTAAATACTTTTTAGAAAATGTTTGCATTTCAGTTACAACTCAATTTATTTTAGATGTTCAGATAAGAATAGATATTGTGTGAAATGATGCATGTTGAGATGTATCATTCAGCACATAATTAGGCGAAATTAATATTCAGATCGGTAAGTACATGTCAAGTTGTACCCTGCAAATAACAAAATAAACTTAGGTTCAAGTTGATGTAACTGGAATAAAATTATTATTCACGAAATATCATTAGAAAATCAAATGTGAAAATTGATATTATAGTAATTATACCACAAAGTACGAAAAAAATTTGTGGAGTGATACTTTACTGGTGCTATATCACGACTAAAATCAAAATTCACGATATTTTCATCCAAAATCCCATTAGTTATATCACTTTGCACAAAATTATCTCGCGATCTATAGCAGATAGAAACACGTGAGTAAGACCCAAAGCTAGCTTATTTTTTACTGATTGTTTATGTGTTAAAATCAGAAAAAGGGTACAACTCGAGTTGTATCACTGATCACAGGAGGCACAGATATTATTATTATTATTATATTATTGACTTTTTAGTGCTAAGCTTTTTTTAAGTAATGTATATTGAATGAAATTAGAGACTAAGGACCGAATACTGAAACGTTACTTAAATATTTAAAGGCACCTTAAACATTTCAACAACTTGTAAACACTAAATTCATCAATTCAAGTTGTACCAAAACGCTACTCAGTAAAAATTTCGTATACTGAAACGCCACTTATAGTTATTTAGTTGTCACACTTACTGTCAAAACAAAATCTTATATGTAGTAAGTAAGAAACTAATACATTTTTAACTTTTAAGGGGATTTCAATTTCTATAATCTTAATTTTAAAATTTGTCTTTCTAATCTATATTTGTTAATTTTTTTTTGTCAAATTAGAAGTTGATGTTGAAGGCTTCTTATGTCCGTCTTGTAAACAAAAATCATATTAGTAGTACTCGGTATTCCTTTTCACCTTTTCATAGGGATGGTAATTTCATTAGAATATGTAGAAAAAATACGAAAAGACCGCTGTAGGAATCGAACCCACGTCTTCGGCATTCGCGGCCCGACGCTTTAACCACTAAGCTAAACGGCCGATTGCTACACCGACGAAAATCTTAACGTCTTTTATCTACATGTTTTTTTTATTTAGCATTTGAAGCAATGGTTGGCGTATCCTTTCCAGCATACAAACAATTTCGAATGTTGTTTTACAACGATAATTCGAATGAGAGATGTCGCCATTGCTTTTTAGATTTTTTTTATAATGCTAATCTTTGCACTTGAAGATTGAACATTGTTTATGGTGCCTATAAATATTTAAGACATGTTTCACAATTCGGCCCTAAGGTGCCGATTATCTCTGTACGTTTGGGGTGGTGTTACCTTAAAAGCACGAATCAAAACTAGCCAACAATAAGCGTATTAAGGTAGAGCGCGTACGTAAAGACATAATATAACTGATTGTGTACACATACGCGGCGGCTGCGTCTCGAGCTATTGCGGCGTATAAATAGCAGAGTTACAATAAAAGCTATTATTAACCACCCCTGTACGAGTGCGGCGCGATCGCGTGTACATGAGCTCGCCACTCCGCGGCTGGCTGTGCAACGCAGTCCGCCTGGGTAAACATACAACCCGTCCATTGTATAGCGTGACTCACAGTGCACCAATCTTTTATCCCCATATATCAAGTAAAAACAGGTTAAGAGTACTGCT